TTGATAACCCAGGTAAACCAATCTATTTAAAACATTTCTGTGCCTATCGAGGTTAATTGGCGGTGCTGTGTGCCCCCTGCAGGGAGCATTATCACCAGTTCTTGGACTATGACCTCAGTGAGATAACGTAGAGCCAATGGTGTGCCGTTTAATCCTAGCTGCCATCTTCCATTGATTGCATGCATAATTCCATAACACTTATTCATTACAGCAAATGCCAAACAGATGTTACAATTTATGAAAAGCAGCTGTTTGTAGATTCCAGCTGCTTATAGGCGAATGATGTCACCCTGTGTAAGACTTAGATCTCCATAGTGTAGAAAGGCTGCCCTTATCTTTAGATCCTGTTTCTGATTAGCTCTGTCAAAATGACCAGGTTGACCCAGAAATGGTCAACAGCTGAGGAGGACTTTCCAGATCTCAGTAAACACAACAACTTCATGGCTAAGGTGTTGAATCTGGAAATGTACAAGCGGCTGAGAGGAAGGATGACGCCAAACGGCTTCACCATTGATGGTGTCATTCAGACAGGGGTTGATAATCCTGGTACAGTAACAGTTGAACCCTTAGGACTGATCAAACACTTTTAGTTGGACACAATAGAACCTTTTATACTGTATAAGATTTTTTTTTTGTTTTGCATCCTTTATCTTTAGGTCACCCTTTTATTATGACTGTGGGCTGTGTGGCTGGGGATGAGGAGACATATGAGGTGTTCAAAGAGCTGCTGGACCCTGTGATTGAGCACAGACATGGAGGATACAAACCCACAGACAAGCACAAGACTGATCTCAACCCAGAGAACCTGAAGGTACTTCAGAGCTGCTGCTCAATGTGAAAAATGGATTTGCTGGGTGTAACTGATTTTAACAGATGTGGCCTGTTTGCCACATCAGGGTGGTGACGACCTGGACCCCAATTATGTTCTGAGTTCCCGAGTCAGAACAGGACGGAGCATACGTGGTTTCTGTCTGCCACCACACTGCAGCCGTGGAGAGAGGCGGGCTGTGGAGAAGCTCTCTGTTGAAGGTAAACTGGAGAGAGAATCTTATTGTCAGGATGGTATGAACCTACAGTATAGAGGAAGCAGTCACTGTCAAACACACAGGAATCCAGGAATGCTCACTGCAGTAGAACTGGCTGAGATTTAATGTTGAAAGTGGACTGCCCTCTAGTGGGAGCAGTTTGAACATGCACTGACCAGATTAACACCTCATAACTTTAGGTGTGACATGAGAACCTTTTACCTTTAAAATAAACAAAAGAATTAACCTTTGGTATGCTTGAAGACTTGTATACAGGTCTGATTTTATAAGCCCTAATCTGAGCCCATTGTTTCATTTGATTTTGGATGTTTTTCTAATCTAACGGCAGCTCTGGACTCTCTGAGTGGAGACCTGAAGGGGAAATACTTCGCCCTGAAGAACATGACTGAAGCGGAGCAGCAGCAGCTCATTGATGATCACTTCCTTTTTGATAAGCCGGTGTCTCCCCTGCTGCTCGCCTCCGGAATGGCCCGTGACTGGCCAGATGCTAGAGGGATCTGGTAAGCCTTCCCGTTATGCCTTCAGTGTGTAAACTCTGCAATCAGCCAGATATCAGATCCAGCTAAAGCCCCCTGGATCAGCAGGCAACAGGTTCATTTATTCATTGTTTAAAATCAAAGTGGCACTAGAGACTGCACAGTGGTAGTCTGCAGTCATGCTGACACTATGAGGGTTTTATGAGTTATTTCAGCCTGGAGCCTTTCTGCGTGGAGCTAGCATGTTCTATGATTTCTAACTGATTCCTACCACCGATCAAAGCACAATAGTTAGCTCATATGTCGGCCCATATAGCGGTTTTATGCTCTGTGTCATTAGCCATTTGGCAGCTACTCAGCAAAAACGATCTAGAATTAAGTAAAACATTTTGAAATTAAGTGTATTTACTCATAATTTGAGTAGGTAAATAGGATGAATTGCCAATGGAATGAGATCTTTTACTCTTAAAATAAGATAATTGGATATTATCCACTTGAAATAAGACGATACAATTCCTTTTTTTTTTTTTTATGTAAATTGTCCTGTTCCACTGGCAAATAGTCTAATTTAAGTCCCCAATTCAAGAAAAAAATGCACTCATTTTCAGAAAAAATAACTTCTTTAGATCTACTTTTTTGGCATTGTAATTCTATTGAGGAGTCTGTTACCATCACATGGGTGCAATGAATGTATTCACAGCCATTTTATTTCAAATGAAATGATTTCTGAGGATGGGGAAATCAAAAGACTCTGAGGCCTGTAAGGTAGACAGAGAAAGGTGTTAGATTAACTCTCGACAATCTTTCCTTACAGTCGCTCATTTTGTTGCTCAGTACTGACAGAATTCTGAATGACGATGAAACAAGCGTTCTAAACAGGGTTCTGCAGTCTGTATCTCAGATGAGCTGGGGTGATGCAGGAGAGCAGTAAGTCGAGGAGCGTCTAAAGCGATTAAAGCATCTTCGACAACGCAGCCAGGGGTTTCCGCCCCTGAGGCTAATTGATGCTGAAGCTTAGTGAAATACACCAGTTCCAAGAACTGCCTGTTTTGGTAAAATCCTAAATCATTATCTTGAAAATAAGTTTCACTGCTGCTCATTATTTTGACTATGAATTCAGATAAAGGCTGTGATTTGAGGGTCTAGCCCTGCTCCTCAGGTGTTTCACTGCCTCCACACCTGACCCGAATGAAAAGGTGATCAACAGGCTTTTGCAGCATTTGATGGATGCCAAGGAGATAATGCAGTCATCTTTACGCAGCTTAAGGATCAGCAGAACTTCACATGATCCAAACTCTGGTTCACATTGTTTAGATATTTGCACATATAACGCCACCATCGTCTATTAGTAAAAGCAATAAAATTGCTGACCGGTTATAGCATTGATCATTCAAAACTAATTCAGCAGGTACCATGTTTCAATTCTGACAACGCTGCAAGTTCAGTTAATATTTTACCATTTATTACAGAGTTTAATGTTTTCTTTAAAATTTGTCTTTTTTTTTCTGATCTGTTTATCTTTAGGCACAACGATAACAAGACATTCCTTGTGTGGGTGAACGAGGAAGACCATCTGCGTGTGATTTCTATGCAGAAAGGCGGCAATATGAAAGAAGTGTTCTCTCGCTTTTGCACAGGTCTCACCAAGGTCAGTGGGAAAGTTCAGAACCGACGCCTCAGATGGCTTTTTATCAGGAGAAATGATGAATTCCTCCCTGTTCACAGATCGAGGCTCTGTTTAAAGACAGGGGCCATGCATTCATGTGGAACGAACACCTGGGTTACATTCTGACCTGCCCCTCCAACCTGGGCACTGGGCTGCGCGCAGGAGTGCACGTGAAGCTGCCTAACATGAGCAAACACGCCAAGTTTGAGGAGGTTCTAAAGAAAATGAGGCTTCAGAAACGTGGGACTGGTAAGAGCCCCACCCCCCAGTTCTTTACAAACTAATATTACTGTGCACCCCCATACAGTACATCAGACTAACATCTGTCCCCTCTCAGGTGGCGTAGACACGGCTGCCGTCGGCGGAATCTTCGACATTTCCAACGCGGACAGACTGGGCTTCTCTGAGGTGGAGCTGGTGCAGATGGTGGTTGATGGGATCAAACTGCTGGTGGAGATGGAGAAGAGGCTGGAGAAAGGCCAGTCCATTGATGACCTGATGCCTGCCCAGAAGTAAAGCAGCCTGAAGCACAGTGCCCCCCCCCCCTCCATTTTGTTCCTACCTTCCCTCTAAACTCCACCCAGTGAAGGATTGACTGCACTTCATGTTTCTGTGTGAACATCTGTATTTAAGATCTGAAATGTAATAAAAATGGTTTGGTTCAAGTAGGAATTTGTAATTATTAACCGTAAAGACTTTAACAGCGCTTAAGATCTGCCTGAGCTGAAAGGGTCCCAAAGTTACTGGATGTTTGAATTAAAACTTTTATGGAACATTTCTGAGGATGAACGTGACTGAAATTAAAAGCAAAATCACTCAGATATTAAAACAAAACTATAATTTCCATGAAAGTTAATGATTCTGGTTTGCAAACTGAAAACGTCAAATTAAGTCACTATGATTATTGCAAATGGCCAGAGTTCTTTAACGCCTCAAATGTTTCACTAAAAACTTTGGGCATAAATCTGCAGACAAGCTGCCTTAACATCAACCAATCAACATGGCTGAGATTCAAGGGGAGGTGAAGGACTTCTAATCACTCCCTCAGATAAATCTTTTTTTCTTTCCTTAAAATCACTGATTTCCTGTAGACCATGATTCCTTTAACAGGTTTTAAACATGACTTTTGTTAAAATGACTCTTTAGCCTTATCAATCCTATAATCATGTTCTGCTTCAGATGTTTTGTGCATTTTCCAGCCTCTGGGTGCACATTGTGGTAGTTGGCCACATCTGGGACGCTTCCTGTTTTCTCCAGATGTAGCTCTCACCATAGTTTACTTTTGAAAGGATTTAAGGTCTGTTGAGCAACTTGTTAGGAATTTCTAGATTCTTCAAGTTTTGGTGCCATTTAGTGGAAAAACTTGATTTGATAGTGAAGTTTATAAATAGCTTTTTGATCTGAACTATATCCCTTCCAAATATAAAATTCACATTCAGGCTCTTTAACAAGATATGCATCCCCAAAGAAAACAAGGTTAAAGGTTAATCATATTGGAAAAGAGTTTCTATACACAGGATTGAAAAAATAAAAATGTCAGGTTGAAATTTGCTTAACCCTTTAATTTGATAGTTTAGCCATTGAGCTACAAGTCATTAAGGGCTTATCTTTAGCTTCCTCCAGAGGGGATGACAGGGTGACCAAATATCTAGTAATTTTATCAGATTATGCTTTTTAATTGAAGCATAATCTGACTTGATGTACGGTTTAAAAGCAGAGGATCAAACTCATTTAAAGGTGTGCTCATCTTAAAACAAAAATGACTAAAACTTGTCTGCTGGTTCCGGTCCAAACACTAGCGATGAGACTGCGTAAGTTGACAGATGCTTTAATGGAGACATGAGTGAACCTTAACCATGTGGGCGTTAACACGGACTACCCATAATCTCTAATTTTTAAACAAAATACAAAAGAAAAAAGTGTTGCAGTGAAGCCATCTGGAAAGCAAGATACAGTATTTACAAAAAAAAAAAAAGGGATACTTTAACCATGAGAAACAAAAGGTGAAATAAATAAGACCAGAATTGCTTTTTTTTTTCTTCTTTTTTTCACATTCACAGCATGACAAATCATATTTAACTCGGTAATGGCGACCCCCAGCGGTCAAAACAGATATTAGTAGATAATTCAGTAATTATTGCCAAAAAGCCTTTATCTATACATTATAATATTCAATACAGACTGTGTTTTGTTTAAAAAAGGAGACATTTGGAAACTGCTACTTGGATGATTGTACAGCTTAAATACCTCAATATATATTTTTAATGTATACTTAAGTCCTTTTGTTCATAGTTTTAACTCGTTGGCAATTTTGGAAGCAATGTTTTTAAAAGCGATTGATGTCCCAGATATCCTTTTGAAGCGGACGCCGTTAAGGGAGAGACGTGGCAGCTTGCAGACCTCCATCTCCCACTGGACCAGGTTTTCAGCCTGCCCGTCTCCATGGACGCAAAGAAGCAGGAAACTCTCTTGCTGTTCGTAGTCGCAGTTGTTGGCGTCGAGCACCTTACGAATCTCCCTCATGATGTCGCAGGGCTCCATGGAGCTGGTGGTTCTCATACTCCAAGTGAATCTGAGGGAGCGGGGTTTACCGTCTTTAATTTCCCCTTTTTGATCCCCAGGTACATGGCGACTGTTGGGAGAAAAACAAGGACAGGTTTGCTTAGATTAACAGGATCATTTTTGCCTTTTATAACGTTGAATCAGAACCTGAGATTCTTCATCTCAGTTTACTGTCGGGTCAGATTCGGGTTGCAGCACAAAGCCTTACCTTGACAAAATGTAGTGAAGTTTTTTACTTCATGGAAATAAAGATTTGTGTCTGTTTGGCACTTATAACAACTTATTAAAGTTTAAGGCAAAGTTAAATCACTTTTTTTTTTAATATAATTTTAAATTAGTGAGAGTTTTACTACATTTTGTCTGACTTCCAAACAAAGGGGAAGTAAAAGCAAAAGAAAAGACTGAAGCCATCTTTGAAAAACCCAGAAGATCACTGCAGCTGGCTTTACTCTACAAACATCCCAACACCGACAGTTAAGCCCAAAATTATTCAAACACTGACCCACTTATAAAATTACTAGTTTAAAATAGGAAATAACAGCATAAATGACAATATAACCAAATCAAAGGAATACTTTGATTTTTGAATACTGTCCCTCAGTAATGAATAAATAACTCCAGCAGCATTTCAGCATCCATCTCTTGCCATTTTTAGCTTCCTCCACAGATTGAAGGGGACTCTAGCTCCGTGCCTTCGAGATGTTAACATTCTTCCTTTCAGAAAAAACTGATTACTTAAAATCTAAATCTGAAAGGTACATTAATTATTAGCCCTTTAACTGGATTCTATCTCATCCTTTAAACACATTTTTCTTACAGCATAATTTGTGTTTTTTTAAAAGACATTTAACATTGCCACCAGTTCAGCTGCGTCTTGGAGAGATTCTATATCCTAACATTTAATGAAGTAAAGATGAGAAAAATGCAAACCATATCTGAAGGTATTTATCATGCATTAAGCTCACTACAGCCGGTAAGATTAAAGTTAATATTCTGATTGCTCAATCTCACAATAACTGAGAAAAAATACTTTTGACCATCATGCAGTTTCATAAAATATTGACTTTTAATCTGTTGGCAGTTGCAGTTTCAGTGCATAACTTTAAGATCACCTGTCTGCTATTTCTGACATTTGAATATTAAAATTAGCCAAATATTAAAGATAAACGAGACAAAGCAGAATAATGAAAAACTCAGTATAAGAACTACAAAAAAAAATCAAATGAGATTCTAAACTCAACCGTCGCATCATGACCAATAGACTCAACAGACTCACCTGTTTGGATTATATTATTATAATCTACTATTGGATTATATATCTAATATTAGTTCAATGTTTAACACATTTTCTCTTGTGTTGCTTTAGAGCTCTTGTTCTTATCTTGAGTGGTGCTACATAATTTAAATCTACATAAATTAAAAATTAATTTATTCCCAGTCATCCAGGTCATAGTCATTCCAAAAAAGAAAAAACAAAACAATCCACTTGACTTTGTTTCCAAGTTTGAAGAAGTTTCGCTTCCCATCCAGGAGTTCGAGGCTTTATAGAGTAACCCAACAAAGCCTTGATTTGGCTTAGAAAACATGCAGATTAAACTGGACGAATTGGGTCGCCCCTTTGGAATGGGGGTCGTTTGGCTTCTTTATTAGCCTGCAATGCCCCATACCCTGCAGGCTAACAAAGAGGCCAAACGACCCCCATTCCAAAGGGGTTGACCCGTTTGTCCAGTTTAATTTGCATGTTTTCTAAACCAAAACAAGGCTTTGATGGGTTACTCTATAAAGCCTCGAACTCGACGCTATTCCTGACATTTTGAATTGAAAAAGCTTCCTGGATGGGAAGCGAAACATCTTCAAACTTGGAAACAAAGTCCCGTGGATTGCTTTGTTTTTTTACTTTTTTGGAATTAAATCTGAATCTTTTCCACCTATAACAAGCTTGAGGAGGAAAACTCTATATAAAGATTTATAAAAGGTATAAACATTCTCTATTTCACATATAAAATGTAAAAACTTAAATTACAACAATTATAAAAATGCTAACCTTTTCTGCTTTTTTTTCCCCATTTTAAAAATCTAAGCGGTCCTCAATAGTTTTCTGGGTTTTTCATAGATTGAGGAAGACTTGCAGCTAATTTATTGGTAAACTTCACATTTTTTGACCGACATGCAGTGTTAACAGAGCAGCACCTTTATGAAGCCATGCAACCAAAACGCATTGATAGCACAGCCGACTCAATCCGAGGCACAGCTTTAATAACAAGGTGCTGCAAGACATTCAGACATTCAGCGAGGCCAGTCAGAGGGAATCCAACACATATCCAGGTAAAGCAACTTGGATCTGATGCTGCAGACAGACAGACGGAGGCCTGCGCCCCCATAAAGATAGCAGGAGATACACAGGAAGCAGCGGGAGAGGGGGGGCAGGTATCCTCACCTTGAGCCCTCAAGTCTCCCGTTTCTCTCAAACTCGGATGAGACTCTGAGACGCCATGAGAAGATTCGACAGGAAGGCATGGCAGAGTCGGTGGACAGGGGGACAAAAGATTAAAAAAGAAGAAAAAAAATGTGGATTGTGTTCAACAACAAAAAAACAAAACATTTTTAAACATTTTCAGTGAATGGTGCGAAGAGAAAGTGAAGGAACGTGGAGGACGGTGTGAGCCACCACCGGAAACAAAAAAAAAGAGAGAAATGGAAAAGCAGGCTTCCATTAACATCGGTGGGAAATGAAAGTAAGGATTGTTGAACTCAAACCAAGAAAACACAGAAAACACAGCAGAAATGTTTCAACCCAAAACAGCAGCAACCAAGCAGGTGGGATGAAAGTAAAGGCAGAGAAGCTGCTAAAATCTCTCCAACAAGATCAGATTATCGCCGGATTTTAATGGGATTGGGATTAAAAATGAGCCGACTATTCTAAACGTGGGTAAAAAGTAGCAGATTTAGGAATAATTGGAAAAGTCGGCGAGCAGATGAAGACTTTTTGGTGGAGGGAGACTCGTCAGGTTCGCAGACAGCAAACACTCACAGAAACACAAAGTTCACAGTCAGCGAGTCGAATGTTCAACAACATTCTGTTCCTGTGACTAAAGCTGAACTCCCGGAACACAAACGCTCCGACATCTCATCCACAGGAAGGAGGAAAAGACTGCCGCTCCATTTTTTTTACCGTACATTTAGTTTGAGCAGCTTTTCATTGAATAACTTTAAAAAGACAACAGACTTTAACACGTCCATGATAAAAATAAAACAAAAAAACAGCTGCGATTTTAATTCATTTGATTTCTGTTTTTATTAAGACCAAATGTGTTTTATTGGTCCGATTGTCATATTTGCTTTAACTTAAGTAGAAAATCACGATAATAAATAAAATGGCTTAAAAACATTGATCTGAGTGTATATAATGTTTTTCTCACTGATGCACCTTAGATGCTTAAATGTTCTTATTCTTTTTAATGTTTTGTGAGATATTTAGTCATGATGCTCCAGGAACCTCAGCTGGTTAAAGAATCAATGCTTCAGCCATTTCTCACATTAACTGCCTCGGAGAGGTTACTGCTACCAGGATCCAGAACATTCATCAGAGTGACAATGGTAAGAAGATTCAACTTTAATGGTTTGCAGTATGACTGAGATGTAAAACGAGGTCGGAGGAAGCACAGAGGCTGGAGGTGAACAGGGCGCTTTAGTTTGGCCAGTGTAGGAACCTGATCTGCTCGGGCCCCCGCCCCTTCTTATGACGTCAACATATGGCAACCCAATTTGGACAAACTGCGTTGCACCCGTTTCTTAAAGATCAAATCTCTTTTTGATTCCCAACATATTACCTGCATTTGCTTTTATTTTACATTTAATTGGCCGTCTAAAGTAGCCGAAAGTAGAATTAAAGCACTGTCTTCTAAGACTGAGCTCTGCCATTTACCCAGAGATGGGAAGTAACGAAGTACAAATACTTTGTCACTGTACTCAAGTAGATTTTTCTGATATTTTTACTTTACTACTTATTTTTATGGCGACTTTTTACTTCTACTCCTTACATTTTTACAAAAATATCTGTAGTTTCTACTCCTTACATTTTAAAAATTGGCTCGTTACTTTAGTTTTGAATCATTTCAATGGAGTTACCGTTATTATTTTTCACGTCGTCAATACCAAATTCAATCTAATTGGATGGGAATCCACGTTGCATTTGACGCACCACTACAAGATGAATCGACAGATTCGGCGGTATTCATTCACGGCAAATCATTGCAGCTTGGTGGCGGTGGCGTTAGCATAGTAGCATGGACGACGAGATGATTGAAAATGAACACAACGGAGATCTAGTCCTATTGGCAGACATCCATTTAAAATGTAGGCAACGGCATGAAAAAAGTGGTTTCTACTTTTACTTTTATACTTTAAGTAAATTTACAAGCCTGTACTTTGTTACTTTTACTTGAGTAAAGAAGTTTAATCAGTACTTCCACTTTTACCAGAGTATTTTTTAACACAAGTATCTGTACTTTTACTCAAGTACGGAAAGTGAGTACTTTTGCCATCTCTGCATTTACCAAAGTGATAAAAAAAAGTTTCAGCTTATTTTAATTATTTTTATTAAGATCTGAGGGCAGAGGACAAATGGGACATCTTAAAAATGATTTACGTAGAGATTTTAGACGAATAAAACAGTTATTCTACTTATAGGAAATGAGCGGTTGTTGACACAAATGTAAAAGTAGTGTTGCTTAATGTGGCTAACTAATCGAGCTAAAAGAGGCTAACCTGTTAGCTACTGAGCACAGCGCTAACCAGCTCTCCCCCTTTATATCATGCTCTAACAGTTGCTTTGTTCACCATAAACAGATTCTTTTTCAGTTTTGTTATCGATCAGGTAAAACTTCTTCGGTCATTAGACACGCTAACGCTACAGATGCTCCCGACTCTGCACAGTGAGGCTGCTTGATGTTAGCGTTTTCTAGGAAACCACAATGTTAGACATCATGTAGCATCACTGGCATAAGCAGGACCCGAGCAGATCTGGCAGCTACACCGGCGTTAGCTGCTTTACCTTTCATAGCTCAGCAGTTTGGTTTGTTTCGGCCAGTAGACGTTACTTTGCGCCCCACCATAGGGATAACATGTTAGTACGGTGGAATAGATAACGAGAAGGCTACAGGTGTTGAGCTTAGTTCATGTGTCCATCTTGTTAGCGGACCAGTGTCGCGCAAACTAAAATACAAAAATACATTTGATTAAAGTTTTTTTTTTTTTTTGATAAAACTTTTTACATAAGGAGGAGGCGGTTTTATGGAATGGAAATTTCAATAAATTTAAAATAAAGCGGAAGGCAGTAGGAAGACGATGGTGTAGTGTCTTCATTTATGGAGTGATTTCCATCAAAACACCCGGTAAAATTAGGTGTTTTTTGGTCTCAGCCTGATGTCCAGTGTTTAGCTAAATTTCTATTACAAACATGCCTCAATATAACGTTGCCTCAGAAAGGTTTAAGATTAAGAAAAAAAAAAAAGAAAAAAAACATGGATCTGAAATGGGCCATAAATCACACATTAGTGAATCTGTAATATTTATTTTTAGACTTTTGGTTATAGTCTTTAATTTCTTTTCTACTCTTTGTACACTTTTTCTCACAAAACCTTTACATCAAAAACGGATTAAAAAGCAGTTTTCTTGTGGTCTTACTTCAACGTCTCAATGTTTGAATAATGTAAACAAAAAAAAGCCTCCACTGAGCTTCCTGCTCCTCTGACAGCACCGGCTCCCTTCATGCACTTACAGCGTAGAGGAAACAAGACGTGTAAAGGACTCAGAGACTCGGAACCATTAACATTTAAAGAGGACAAGTGAACAGACGGGACGGACAGCAGGTCCCCAGGCAGTCAGAAAGGCGCAGAGAAAAACACTACATGAGGAGCAACGTCTGAAAACCAGACTTTTTTTTTTTGCCATTTCCTGAGGGACAAATTGAGAGATTGAAACAGCCCTTACTCTAGATCTCCATCCTCCTACAACTCTCTATCTTCTGCTCGAGAATCTGAAAGAAAGAAATCCGAATCTGAGGAAACTGAAACACGACAAAAAAGAAGGAAAGAATATTAAAATGGATGGCAGGAGAACAGGCCAAAAAAGAATAACAAAGCATGAGAGGGCGATGAGAAAAGGAAAAAAAGAAAGAATCAGAGAAACTGAAGGGCAGAAGACTTACTAAGGGTCTTTCCTCCCCGGGTAGAAGGGTTGGCAGGCCCTGTTTTGGCTATCTGCCGTTTGGCCGGGTCAATACTGACCCTGAGCAGAGAGGAAGAGCAGCAAGAGGTCAAAGTTAAGGACACAAGAAGGTAAGAAAGACAAAAACACAGAAGCTGTGAGGAGAGGAGTGAAGGTGGGAGCAGGAGGTGATTCAACCTAAAACGTCCTGAGGAGGAAAAAAAAGGATGAGAACTCACTGATTAAGGCCCAAGATGTGAAGAGTGGGACGGAGACTCAGAGCTGACGAAATTTAGTAAAAGGTTATCAGACAAGTCGAACTGTGGAAGGGGTGAAACAGTGACGCGTCCACGCAGGACAGACTTTCAGACCTTTTACTACATTTTTTCATCTTGGAGGCTCCAGAGAAATGAGAACATAAAAAGTGAGAAGTGAAATGAAAAGAGGACAGACAAACAAAAATCCCTGGATGATGATGAAGTTAGCAGATTGATATGAAATCAGCCACCAGGGGGTGCAATAAACCCCAGGACAGCCCCTGGTTTGATCCGGAGCTCAACAGTAGCTGAACTGGTGCAGATAATGGGACTAAATACTGTATGCCAAACATGACAATAGAACCGGTGTCCTGTCAGATGAGCATACCCCGTCAGACCAGCATACCCATGGTCAATATCTGTTTATCCCTTTAGTTCTGTATGGAAAATGGACTTAAAGCTACCTCAAGGGGCATATATCCCTTTATTCATGTACAAAAAAATGATTTAATTACTTACTTTTTGGTGTTTTTTGAAGCGTATGCCGTTCTCACCTTCCATTGTTTTGTTTTTTTGTACATGACTAAAGGGATACACGCCCATTGAGGTAGTTTAAAGTCTTTTTTTCACACAAAACTAAAGGGATAAACGCAAAGCTGACGTCTTGCGCATGCGTATTGACTACGGGTATGCTGGTCTGATGGGGTATGCTCATCTGACAGAACACCGGTTACAGAACTGAAAAGTTCCTGATCAGACCTACGATCCAAACTGTGAAACACGGACCCTGACCCACAAAGGCTCGTCTTCCTTCTCACCTGCAATCACCTTGTGGTCAAATGTTGGATGGTGGAACTGGTACACTAGTGCCTACATGACTTTACAGCAGAACGTAGGACAGACGGGATAAGAATAGGGGCCAATGTGGAACAGTTTGATCAGAACTGGATTATCCTCAAGCTGAGGGTTCTGCAGCAATTAGAATGTTGTGCATGCAAAAATCGTCCCATGAAGCCTCAGCTAAACCCCTCACTAGTGCTGTCCAACAGAACTAAACCAACAAAATCCTGTTTAATTTGGGAGAAGTTATATTCCTCAAAAACAGCCAATTCTAAAGTAATTCTGACAGCAGATATTTTATAGATTATACTCGTTAGATGTAATATTTCTAAAACTGGGCTCGGAGCAAAACTGTGTCCAAAGATCCGAACATCCCGTCTGTATTTGTACCCCTTGACCTCTTTTTTTGTCCCATTTTATTTGATAGACAAACAAAAGAAATGGTACATTTTTAAGAGGAACCAAGAATAAAATGGTTTCCATGATTCTGGCATGGATTTTCTTAGGCCCCCAAAGGCCCCCGATTCTGTCACATTAGGTCCCACCACGCATTCACAGGATGATCAGTCCCAGAAATTCCCCAGCACTGGAAATACGATCTAGAAATACGTAAAAATTTCTTAAATTTAGTGTATTTACCCTTAATCTGAGTAGGTAAATTAGACTATTTTCCAATGGGATGAGTATTTTTACTCTTAAAATAAAATACTTAGATAAAATGCACTTGAAATAAGACAATGCAATTGCGTTTTCTTATTTTATATGTAAATTGTCTTGTTCCATTGAATAAATGTCCCTTTTACATTCTCAATCCAAGAACAAATGCACTTATTTTAAGAAAAAATGACTTATCTAGATTTAGATTTTTTCCAGCGTGAACGTTAATCTGCGTTCGCTGCTATGAAGCTGTTTACCTATAAGTGTTCTGTACTGCTGAGCTCCTGCCACGGGGAAAGTGCAGTGTTTATTGAAAGTGTGTCTGAGTCCTCTTCGCATGCTGGACCAACTTAAATGGGGACCAACCGGGCTGGTTTAACTTTGTATGGTTTTCCTCACAACCGCGTCCCTCTTCCTTTCTAACTCATGACCCCACCATCCAATTGCTGTCTAGGTCCGTCCAAACGGTCTTGGTCTGCCTCAGTCTGAGCTAGTTGCAAAGTTGCAGAATCGAGCGCTTTGACCAGCTCCATGCAGCCATCAGGCGCCAAATCATGTCTGGTGTGATCTGGCCTTTATTCTTTTTAAGTTCTCTGCTTTAAACCATCAGCTTTGCGCCCCTAATAAAGTCTTCCATGGAAAAGGTCTAGACAGAGGTCTGGGTTTTGACTAGGCCATTCCAGCACACATTCCAGCCGAGTCATTGTTCTGCAAACCTCCATACTAGTGCTCAAGTCTCTGTTTTCTTTCAGGACTGCTCTAATCATCTGCCCACAGCATGACGCTGCCACTAACGGGTATCACCATGAGGGATGTTTGTTCAGGGAGATAAGCCATGTCAATTCTCAATTTTTAATGCCGTTTAATTTCACTGCAAAATGTTCCCTCCAGCTTCGATATTGTATGGAGAATAAATCACAACCATGGATTCCAGGTGACCAATGAAAACAACTGGTTCAATTCGATTTTTTTAAAGGGGCATCAAAGTAGAGGGGTCTCAACAGAAATGCATCCCATGGTGGACAATATTTTTATTTGTAAAGCATTTTGATTAATGTGCATCATCATTCTCATTGGAAATACAAACAATTTGGCACAAGGTTATCACATAAAACTAAAAGAGTTTAAGAAGAGTGAATGATTAAACATAAAATACTCTGATATTTAACCTGATCAAAACAACTGACTGACAGGAAAAATCTATAAAAATGAGGAAGACTTCAATCCCGGTGTAAAAACGATGATTATTGCAGCATTTCAGCCTCAGACCAGCTGTTTCCGCAAACGCAGGACTTTGAAAGAGCAGTTATTGATTGGAGAGTTGAGTACACATGGGATCCTTTTAGTCACAACCTAATATTTACTTTATTAGTGCTGGATAGATTTCCTAAGTCGATTCAACTCAATTCATCTGATTGCTTTTGATTTCAGCAGAACTAATGCTGCCAATAATCCACAAATGACTAACTTGGAGCACTAGTTAAATATAAATATTTACATTCAACATTGAATGCTGTGCAGCAACATTAATCATACAGCTTTATTTAACATGACCTGACCAAAACAAAAATGGCGCCTATGTGACAACAAACACACTAAATTAAAGACATTCACACTGGTTCCTTCAAGTGTCAGACAAAGTTTTGTTCAAATGAAAAAAAGGGGATATGAGAGCCTAATGAAACGATATTCGGTCATTTAAAGGAGTTTAATGATTGATTTGATTTGTTGAAATCCAGCCATAAAGCTGCTAATGGTACCATAGTACATCCAAGAAGAGCAGCTCTGCCTGCAGATGTAAACTACATGTTCCGTTTTACAGGGAGGGGCCTTTATGAAGAGAAGGGAAACATTAAGAAACGACAAGGATTTGATGTTGGTGGATTCGAATATAGAGAAAAACCAACAAACCTTTACAGAAAAGAAATAATCCTTATCAGAAAGGTTAAGAAAAAAGATGTTGCTGATGTTTCGTTTTTCTATTAAATCTATCCGAGTATAGGATTGTTTCTGTATACAGCAAATAGTGCAGCAGAAAACTGTTTAAAGCACTCGTCTGTTAGGGACCCCATGCATGCTGACGAGCGATTAGTGACAAGCTGCTTTGTTGTTGCTGTTGGTTCATCAGCTGATTGGTTGGCTCTTCCAATCAGCCTTCAGCCACTCAGACTAACGGCAGCCACACAGAGCATTTACACACATGGCTTCCCTCTGATTAACGCCAAACTGAGGACAAACAGGTTTTTATTTAGAGGATTCCCAGGAACATTTTTTTGCTGTCTTTCTGCAGAACAGTCCGTTCTCTCAAGAACCAAAATGGAAAACGGCCTAAATCTGTTTGAAAGCCATGTGTGTAGATGCGCCCAAAAAAAAAAAAGAATAGTGTTAGTTTGGTGCCAGCAGCCCCACTTAAAAAACAGAAGAAGAATCACAGCTTCTCAGTGAGACTGATCTGGTTATTGTTGGTGCAGAACGGAGTACAGTGCAGGAGTCCTACCTTTTGGCAAACCTGAATGACATGTTTCTACAACAAAGTCAGACAAAGAAACAGTGAAAATGGTGAAAGAGAAAAAGGGGGGGGCATGAAGAGGCTGAGTGAATGAACAAAAAATGTGGTGATTGGAATCAGTGGTTGGATCAGTGAGGAATCATTTCCTCCTGCTCCGTCTAATGATTTCACTTCCTGGTGGGAGTGACGTCGCTGACCTGGCTGCTGCTTCCACTGCTTCTTCACTCAGAAGCAGCAGTTAGTTTTTATAAAAACAAACGTGGTTACGCCTTTCTCACTCTTTAAAACAGGCACAATGTCTGGATGCAGTTCTTTAACATTATTAAGGGCTCGGCACACAGGAGGCGAAGTCCTTTCATAGCTTATGGAAGCAACAACCGTGATCCTCCGCCGTCCTCCGGCCAGGTCGGCCTGGATGCGTACATGTGGGCTCGCTACACACAAGTTCAAAACGTTCCTGCTTTATTGCCAGCACAAAGCACTACAATCAATCAGCAAGCTGCAGTCTGCGGGACATTTAAGCCTCGTGAATCTTCCCTGTTCCAATATGTCCTCATCCTTGTTGCCTCGGCTGTCAGAATCCGTCTAACTTGTTAACCAATCAAATCTCTGGGAGACGAGTGACTGAAAAGCGTGATTCCAAACATTGCTGCCATTACAGCGCCCTGTGTGTCGGGTCTCACAAGGTGCAGATGACTCCCATCTATTGCTGCTGTTTGTCTCTGAGTGTCGAGCTCATTTGTAATTTGGACAGAAACCTCAAAGCAAAGATCTTCTCAGTGATCTTCAGCCCCGTTTCCAGCCAATAAGGAGGGTTTATATTCAGCTGATGAATTGAACGAGGAATTGAACAAGGAATTTCCTAACTGCCAGGACGCCAAATAAAGGAAACCCGTTGGTGAGTGTACAATGTAGAGCCTTGCCAAAAATACTAACACCCTTTTAGGTTTGTCACATATTCTTACAGCAGTTCATTGTAGCGTTTGCTAAGAACAACTACATCTTATAAAACTAAAAAAATCTAAAAACTGTTGTCCATCCCATTTACTTTGACACCCTGAATAATCTACAGAGCTTAGTGTTAGTCAACAGTCCACCTGTATGTGGTTTCATCTCAGTTGTTTTGTAAAAGCTTAATGCTACGTTCAGGCCGCACGTGCTAGAGGCAGCAGAAGAAGCCAGTTTACATGCAAAGAAAATGGTTGACGTGCATCAAGGCGCAGCAAAAGGTCCTGCAGAGGGCCATGATCTTCTGAGGATCTGACGTGTGCAACACGGCTGCTGGAGTTGAACTCCAGCAGTTAAAAAATTGAACGTTTGCTGCTCGACGTGCCACATCAACCAATCAGAGAAGCTGATCTGGGAGCTGGCAGGGAGACAGACAAAGCACTGCTGATGCAGAGCGCTATGATCACTCCGCTAAAACAGTTTATTAATGTCTAAATTAACTTTAAATGTCGAAACCTGCCAGCAAAATATGTTTGATATAATTATTCTGGTGCCTGCAGTTTGGATTACGTATGTGAAAAATGCCTTCCAGCCGCCGTGAACAGTAGCGGAAAACCACAAAGAGGCGAGCGGGTCACAGGCTGCTGTTAAATGGGATTCCCGGTGAAAGCGCACCGCCGGTATGTGGGGGTCTGAGCGGCTCTGTCAGCGGAACAATATTTGAAGGCAGGATGGTAAACTGGATGAACTGACAGCACAGATGAAGTTTTCAGGTGGACTTTCTCAATTAAAAACATATTAAAAAGACTTTTTACCCACTGATCACAGAAAATATAGCTGCCATTGTTCCAGGCAAAGAAAGGATATGGTAGCTCCGCCCAACGCGCAACAGACCCACAGCAAAGATGCTTCAGCCGTGCGTCAGAACTAAACTTGTACAAGCATCAAAATGAAGCAGCACGTGCGTTTTGCTGCTTCTGCTGCGTGCGGTCTGAATGTAGCATTAAAAGGTTCGTTAGAGAAAAAAAATAAGCAAACAGCAACGCTAGGACTGAGGGACAAAGCAGTCAAGTCGCTGTAGGGGTTTAAAGTAGATTTAGCTTCTAAAACAATATCCTAATCTTTGAACATCTCTCAGTGCAGATGGGTCCATCTCTTCAACTGAAAACTATGAAACGAGTAAATGAATTAGAGAAGGAGCCGCAAGGCCTCTGGTGACTCTGGAAGAGTTGTAGAGTCTCAGCTCTTCTTGTCCTCCAGAAGTATGTCTTTTATGGTAGAGAGACAGTTCATCCATCTAATCTGATTTAATTTTCCTTATTTATAGAAAACAGATAAGTTTTTTTCTTCCTTCCACTTTATAAAGATGTCCTAGTTTGTTTTGTCGTGATATAAAATCCCACTAAAACTCACTGAAGGTCACAGCGAAAATGTATGAACAAGTGGAGGGGTGTGAATACTAATGCAAGGCACCATACATTTTATCATAAAACTATTTCCAGCGGACGCTCCGTTTCCATCTGCATCCAGGTTGATCTATTGAAACCTTTGATGGGTCGATATTGATGCTCTGATTCTCAGTCTTTGGTTTTTAATCATATAAACTGAAGCTCCTTCAGAAGTCAAGACTTGCAGCAGTCAACCAGGCAGCGACGCATATGATCAGATTTATTGTAAATATTTGAAAAGCAATCACAATAATAAGAACTGTTAAGGGTTCCCTCACCATTGATACTGGCAGGATAATATGCTCAAAAATCACATGCGGTTATTGTCTGCAAAAAGGGTTAGAAATAAATCCTCCATTTCTCCTAAACATTCAAGTTGCTAAGAAACACTTCAAAACATGTAGAAGCAGAAACGTGGATTAAAACCACCCGCTGGAAAATCTGAGTACGATCACCTACCTGCGGGTGAGTTTGGAGGTGAGCTTGGTGAACAGGTTGCTTGTTCCACGGCTGCGGGTTTGGGACAGAGGGGTGGCGTCGTGGGAAAGGGTGGGGGAGGCCGGCGGCCCGTTGTACGTGGCCGTGCGGCGGTCTCTCAGCTGGCCGCCGTGGAAGGTGCTGCGGCCAGATGTGCCCCGGGGGAAACGGAGGCGGTCGGGCGTGGTTGCATTGCTGATGCTGTGAGTTGACGCCACTGGGTTCTTCTGACCCCCTGGGGAAACTGCAACACTGTGGAAGGAGGGAGAGAAATCAGTCTGAGGAGGTTACAGATTAGGCCGTGTTCATGTTTTACCAGAGGATAGCAGACGATGTGGGTCATGTCCAAAATAAACACTCCATCCATTTAGTGGAGGCCTGGTACCAACATCTAAAAACCAACCTACCTGCATCAACCTTCTCATTTTAGGTAAGACTGCAGCTTATTTCTACTACATGGATTTTCAATTTGGTTTTGTGAAAATGGTGACTGTTATTCTAACTGCATTACACCTCAATTTTTGGCCTTTCTCAGTTTATAAAAAACATTAACATTAAATCCCTGAACCTGTGATGTTGGGTCACAAAACGAAAATCTTCAGAGCTTCCCGCCATAAACATAAATCCATAAATGAGCAACAATGAAGGGGAGACTTGCTGCGGCTCGGACTGAAGGTTGGGGAAGGCAGGAGAGATGAGAGTCGGCCACCCGGTAGGAGGCGAACAGAAAGGGGGGAGTCCAGGCAGAGAGGAGGAGGGCTGAGAGCTCAGAGCTGAAAACTGAGGTGAGGAGCAGAGGTGGTTAATGTTTACTGCAGAAGCAGGGGATCGTCTGAGGAACGGTGGGATCATGGAACATTAGCCCAGGGGTGTAAGCTTTGATCAGCTGGTTCCACAGTCTGGGTTGATATTTTCTCTACTTAATCACAGAGATTAAGCCAAATTTAGAAAAATCTGAATTCTCCGTTGGATCAACATTAGAATCCATGTTTTTCTCTCCTCCTACCGTGAGCAGCTGCTTTCTTGTTTCAAAGCAGGTGTGAAATAACAGCCCATGTTAAACAGGAGTCTACAATCATTAAAGAAGGAAAAGTGATTTTAAACTGCAAACATTTATAAATTATTCCATAGAAAGAATCTGACTTTATATTTATATTAAAGCTGCTCACCATACGCTCAGTACTATAGCACCTTTACTGGTCTGACAAAAAGAAAATATACATTTATTTCCTACTAACCAAAGAAATTATCTGAAAACTGTGCAAATTTCAATCAGAAGAATTTTTACCTTTATTTTATGAACATATAGGATTAAAGGTATCCTGGCCTAAACAAGAAATACTTCTGCTACAAAAACATATTTTTCATATTTAACTAAGGAATAATCAAAAAAGGAATCCAATTTAAAGAAGCTGAGGTTTTGAACTTAAACAGTCTTATTTGTGAGATCTTAAAGTTCTCCAGTTTTAGGAAAAGCAATAAATGCTAGACAGTTTCTTTAGGTTGTTTAGATCATAAAGCCAGCTCCTTCAGACTCCAGGCTGAACAGTCTACTGGCCTGCAGAAACCTGCATGGCCTGGGAAAAGAAAGTCCTACAGAAACCAAAGCTGATGCTGCACGGTGTCATGCGTAAGGGGAGTCGCATACGCTGGAAGAAATGCGTTAAAGTGACCTTCTGATACCTGCTGCTCTGATCAATGCTGTGAGCAGCGATTGGATCGTTACCTCACAGGATATTAAAGGCTGTCATTCTGGAAATGGGGGGTATCAGCACACTGGACTAGATGTCAAAGTTTAGGTGCATGTAGAAATAGACACTTTCAGCAATATAATGCAAAAATGAGTCACATGAGTGAAAGCTGATTACAGTCAGCAGGTTGGATTTGCTGACGTTCCAGTTGTCTGGGACAACTGGGCAGCAGTGGAAGATCTTTACGTGTTTGGAGCAGAGAACAAATAGTCTGAGCTACGTCTCTGCCAAGCATAAAAAGGCACAGATCTTTTTAGTGATGTTTCAAATGATGCCATGAGGCAAACATTTTAGAGCCGCATGAACAATGTTCTGGTTTACTCAGTTTTCTTTAGAAATGAAGTATTGCATTAGTTGCAGGGTCACCGTGTTAAGCTGGCTGCATGTGAGGGTTAGCGAGGGCAGAACGGGGTCTGATGCATGAAGGAGACAGACAGGGGGGGACTGGAGGCCCTGCTGTCTTACTTGGCCGGGCAGTGGTCCAGAGCGTAGTAGGAGTGGGGCAGGGTGGCCCAATCTGCCTGAGAAGCGTACAAAGGGTTGAAGGTTTGATACCTCTGCTGTACCGAACTGGACGAGGCACCGAACACGACGGCCGCAAAGGCAGAAGAGGGGCTAGTGGCGCAAGCCATCTCAGTCATGCTGGGCATGCCCAAACCAGGAAGGAGGGGGGAAGAAAAAGGCCCAATCACAAACAGGCAGAAAAAAAACAAACATGAGAAATGGTGAAAATAAAAACAAGAAAAGGAGGAACGGAAGAAGAAAAAATTCAAGCAAAAGATCTGACATTTGTGATGGGAGGTTTGACCAAATCTGTTGTTTCTTCCAAGATGAAGCTCTCACCTGTTCTCCTTCCCGTTAGGGATGACAGAGAGGCGGTCTGCGTTATTTCTGTCGCTGCAGACGTACGTGTTCCTCCTGGTCATGCCTGCTGAAGCAGAGTTATTCTGCAAAGGAAAAAACAAAACAAACAAAGACGTTTGAAATTTCACCAGCAAAGGTCTCCATTGTGAAGTGGTTTAAGCCTTAGGCTATGGTGCTGGTTTGAATCCCAGGAAGGGCATCCAGCATAAAAACCTAGTCTGTAAGCAAAGTTTTATTAACTTTATGAGGCGACTCCTGAATACTGGAGCAGCTAAACGAAACAAACCAATTTAAGCAGAAAATTTTTTTAAAAATAAATCCCTGCCATCAGGATCCACCTCAGTTGTAACTGAAACATTTAGCAAAACTTCAAAAAATAATAATTAAAAAAGTATTTTTGATGATTTTTAACAGTATTTTTTTTTTTACTTTATTTTTTATTAAAAAGAATATAAACATTCCTTGACAACATCACGATGATCCTGCACAAGGCAGGAAAAAATCCCCAAAAAGAAAAACCCTTTGGGCCCACAAAGCTTACATGACTGAAAATAAATAGTAAATAAATAAGTGGGCATTTAAGACATTACAGCATACTGTCGGAATCACCTCAGTTGGAGAGGTATCTTGTTTTGGGCAGCCACCTCTTTACAAAAACATCAGATCTTAGTTGTAGTTGAGCAGTTAAAGCCTCCATTCCATACACCTCCCCCAGCTTCCATTTCCTGATGTTTGTTTTCGAGGGAGGGAAATTTGGATTTCCAGGAATCTTCATAGCCCTTGAGAGAGCCACTGTTGCTCTTATTCCCTTTTGGACTGTAGACCATACTTTTAAGGTGTGTTTCAACCATAATTTTTTAATTTAAATCCCTTTTGGGACTGCTTATTTAGAAACACAAGAGTGGATAAAGGTATTGCTGATAACAAATTCTGCTCTGTGTTTACCCATCCTGAATCTATCATCTTTGTATGCTTGCCCAGCATATTAAAGGCTGATGTCAGAATCCCAGCTTAAACAGGAACAGAATTCTAAGAAACCATTTTCTTCTCACTCAGGCAGCCGTCTTTGCTTAAAGTACAAATAAAACTAATGGACTGGGTTAAAACGGCTTCCTTTCAGAATCAGAATTACTTTATTAATCCCCAGCAGGAAATCCTTTTCTTGCAGTGCAACCATACAGAATAGAGAAAAATAAGATTGTAATTACAATCCAATGACATGAGCTCTCTGAGGAGGATATAAAGTGGCTCTTTTAAAAAAAAGAAATGTATTCCGACTGCTGGATATAAAAGAGGAGAGAAATTAGTGCAGTTTCTCTTCAAACAGCCATGAAATTGATAGTATTTTTTGGCAGACATTTTCAAACCATCTTGTAGTTACAGAGGAGGTACATAGTCGGCCCTTTCTGAAAAGACTGTGGGTTACTTACGCTCGGACCGGTGGTGGCCCCTTTCTTTCGGTCAGGGATGTCGGCCTTGTTGGGGTTGTTGGCGCTGCCCAGCAGAGGGCTGGAAGGCTGACCGCCTCGGCTGCCGGCGCTGCTTGGCTTCCGAATCGGAGCCCCGCCCTCCTCCTTCACACTGTTGTCCCCTGTGGTGGTCTGGCTTCTCTTTGGATGCGCCATCCCTGATGGTACGTTCTGACCAACTAATGAGGGAAACAGAAGACAAAATGGGTTTCTTTGAGAATTCTGACAATATTTTGCAAAAGTTTTCAGTGAAATGTTCAGGCTAGAAACACAAACTGGCACTAACAATTTCTTGAGGCATTTTTCAAAAATGATTATATTATATAATTATTATAATTCAAATATCTTAATCTAAACTTTTCCACTCCAGCTCTGGCTGCGTTCAGAGTCTCTGTCCTGATGGAAGAAGAACCTCCATGTAATTTACTTTGCATTTAACTCGATCCTTCTTCCTATTGACCAGATTCTTTCTACTTCTGATACAAACAGCCTCTGCTCCCCATTATACTTAAAACGTGTGGGAAATAAAATATATTACTTTAAAGCAACATGTTAAACATTACACACTTTTTAGACAGATTATACCATGCTGTCGAGTAAACCTTTAATTAACCAAATATAAACTTGTCTGCCAGTTTTAAAGTGATTCTAAAAAGAAAAAAAGAACTGATTGACAATGAATAAAAACCTCTAGAAAGTAAAATGTTTATTTATTTCATAAACCAGCAGCATTTTTTTATTTCTTCCTTTATAGGTTAGAAAACAATCAAAGCTGAAATCAAAGTTAACAGCTGTGACACCAAGGCAGCTCAGTTGTGCCAACACTGCAGAAAGTGAACTCAAATAACATTTTATTTGAGTAGAAAATTATCTGCAAATGGAAAATGATTTTTGCACTTTATCCTAAGAGCAGTATATCTACTTATCTAATGCTAGGGACCAGGACCTGCTCAAACAAAGGCAGAGAAGAACAATTTCTTTAAGAAGTTTTTTACTTCTATTTAGACCAATTTGTGTTTTGCAGAACTTTGGTCTTAGGTTAAGACAAATGGAAGAAACTAAAAGGAAAATCATGGAAGATGTATTGAAAGCCTTGTTCTCATTAAAGCTGTTGGTTGGATATATCTAAAGAAGGAGAAGGGTGTAATAACCCTTTAATAATCAGAACAGCCGTTAACCCACACAGCCCAGGACAAGTCCACATCTCAGACGGGTAAAGCTGAGCTAAAAGCAGAGGATGAGGGACGCTTGGCTACCTTATGGTTAGCATGCTGATAGACTGACATTTATAACTGACATGTTCTGCTTCTTTAGGGAAACTAGTCATAGTCAGTTGTCCAAAAGAAGCAGCTCAGGATTTTGCTTTATAGACCAAATTTCCATTAAGTTCTCCTCCTGATCTTTCAAGACTTTCCCTTATCCTTCTGCTACTCCACTCTATTCTACATGGTTTGGTTCCTCTTCCTACTGATTCATTATTAGGAAGGGGCCAGTTAACACAACGGTGTTCAAACATAAAGGATGATTCCTTTAAACCCTTAGGTTATATCCAACAGCAGGAAGCTTTATTTTACCAAGTGGAATTGAGTGAAAAGTGGGCAAAACAAATGCCTAAAATGTGCAATTATAAGTAACCTTTTTCTAGAGCAAAACGAAATGTAATTATTAGCTAATTAAATAAATAAGAAAGTTAACTATTCAGGATACAAAAAAAATCGTTTCATTCATGCATTGCAAGTTTTCAATACTTTTTGTTTGTAAGCATGTTCAGATTATGCACAAAATGTTATGGTCAAAACCTGAAGCAGTTGGGGCTTTACAGCAGGATTGTATATGTATTGACCTGAGCTGCTGCAGCACCTGGCTGATGCAGCTGTGGACACGCCTGGTCATGCCAGTCAAATTCAAAGCATCAACCTCAACCCGTTGGTCCGGTCTTAATTATAACTTCATCTAGTAAAGACAGAACATCCTGACAAAATGCTGAGTTTCTTGCGCCATCAGAGAGCTTACAACCTGCACAGTTTTTCTGCAGGTGAGAACAAGCCCAAGTTAAACTGTTCCTGCAGCTTGAGGTGCTTTGCTCAGGTGAGAGCTCTATGGCTGCTGCACCGTCTCCATGTTTAAACTGTGGAGGAACCGCTGCCTGAACGAGGAGAAAATGGTGAAAGGGCGAAACAGTCGGTATAGCAGCTTTAAAGATGCTGTGTCAGCAGCATAAACACAAAAGCGTATGAACTTCCAAGGGAGGATTAGGAGAGCCCACCTGCCCCCACCCATCTTCACCACCTTCTACAAAAGCACCATAGAGAGCGTTCTGAGCAGCTGTCTCACTGTGTGGTGTGGAGGCTTCAGCGCCGCAGACTGGAAGAATGTAAGAAGAGTGGTGAGAACAGCAGAGAAGATCACCACGACTCTTCTTCCCTCCAATAAAGACATTTCATCCCAGCGCTGTGTGTCCAGAGCCCGTAACATTATAAATGACCAGTCACACCCCCAACATGGACCTTCTTCCCCACCGCCATCAGACAGCTGAATGTTGTAAAAACTAAATCATGTCACAGACTCTGCAATAAACTGACCATACCAATGTGTTTCTCCCACAATGTTTACATTTGATCACTGCTGCACTTTCAGAAAAGGGAAATGTCATGAGAGCTGTAAAATGTAATTCCGTTTTGTTTATCTGTGTATACAAAATGACAATAAATGTTGTCTAAGTAAAGGAATTGCAGGTGGGCTACTTCGCCAATACTGCAGTGGGTAATAGGAAGAAACTAACAATAGTAAAAGATTGTATGTAACTTAACAATAAAGCTGTATTTCTTTGTAAAGATTGTAAAAGGAAAATAAATTCTTGGCCATAGATGGAGGGGACTGGTTCAGGCCCCCCCTCTAATCTTGCCTGGCACCACTGACCCTGTTGTTCCTGGTGTATATCACATTTTTAAAGGCATGCATCATTTTTATCTTCATAACAAGGTTATTGATTTGTTAAACCTTTAAAGACAAAGATCCTAATCACAGGTGGGAGAGGGAAGTAGATCCACTAAGAGTATTGACACCCCCTGATTTACCAGTTCTCTGAGGCAGTGATATTTTCATTTACCTGATGCTCAACATTAGAGCCCAGAGTTGAGAAAATGAACTGTAGTCTGCTCACCTTGTTCACTGTACCGCCTTTGCTTGTGGTTGGAGGAGACGCTCCTCTGCACTTTGAGGTGGGACGGTGACTGTCCATTCAGCTCACTGCTAGGTCTTGGTTTGGCCAGAGACAGATTGCTGCTGGAGGCAGAGTCACTGGGCTCCAGCTAAGATTTAAAACATTTATCACAAGTAAAGACATGCAGAACAGATAATACTTATCAGTAAGGAGCCAAATGAGAAATAAAGCTGTGTGTTTGTACCTCAGAGGCTTTCCTGCCCAGCAACAAGTAAGTGGCTGTGACCTCATCATACTTCATCTTGGCCAGAGAATCCTGGATCTCATCCAGGTTATAGCCCATACCCACCATCACATCTGCATGAAAGAAAAACATCAAGGGATTCATTTACAAAAAAAATAAAAATAAAAAAATCTGCCGTTTAAAAGGTAAACTTTGGTTTTCCAATAAAAAAAATTCAAAAAGCAGAATTTTATACTTAAAGGGAAAATGTTAAAAATAAGAGCTGGGCTACAACTTGTTTTTAATCATCATTTTGACTCGGACCAACCATTACGCTGCAAAAATTCGGCCAATTTGTAAAAATGATGTTGGCCACTCATCATATCTACCTCATCATAGATCTGAAAATCCCCCACTGTCAATGCTGTGAATTTTATATCTGCAAGCAGGTATTTCTATGTTTCTCTTATATTTTCTTATATTTTATCGTTTCAGGCGGAATCATTACTTTTTCGCAAGATTTTAAATACGCTCCGCAAGACTTTAATACAAATGAACACTGCTCTAAATGAATGTATAAAATGAGAGAATACAGGACAAGTTTGACTTATTAAACATTCTGGTATGGGTGGCATTTTGAGGTACAATGTTTTTGTATTTGTTGGCTCTGTGCAGCTAGCTGTATTCTGTAAACCCTTTGTGGAAAACAGAAAAAACAAGACTCTAAAAATCACATTCAAGTTTGTTTTTTGTGACCAACTGTAGAAAACTTCATAGGGTATGAAGGACGGCACAGTAGCAAAGGTGTAAAATGCATCCTTCATGGATCGCCGATGTGTTCAGATGTCCTGCCAATGTACTCTATGTCCCATAGGCTGTTAGCATAAGCAGTGGTAAAGCAAAATACTCTTTATATTTATACTCTTTGGGGTAATACATGCTCAAACTGCAGGTTAACTACACCAGGAAACTATCAGTGGATTTGCTCTCAGTAAAATCAGCCTTCCTGTGTGTCCAGAAAGAAGAAAGGAGCGAGCTCTGCTTCTCTAACCAGGCAGATCTGGATCTGCCATCTTCCTTGGCTTGATCTCATTTTTCTCACTTTCATCCTCCAGCTCCTCTCACACATCAGATTCTTTCTCAGCTTCACAGTTCATCTCAGCTGTAAAGCTGCGAGTTGCTGACTTTGAAAAAAGGGGCTTGTGAAAACTATTCAACAAATTTGATATGATAAAAGAATAGATATTTTAACAAAATAAACCCAACAAAAAAAAGGTTCTTTTTTCATGTGTTTTACTAAAATCAGACACAAGGAGACATCTTGCCATATGCATTAAAGCTCCTCACCGTTAAAGGGGAATTTTAAAGTCCTCTATGCACTGACCTCATTTTTACCCAAACCTTCACGAATAAAAAGTCCTGGTCTGGGGGAAGGATAACCCTCAGATTGTTAAGAAGTTGAGTATTGAAACAGAAGCACAAAAATCAAAGGGAGAGGTGAAAACTGATGAAAACTTCATATATCACAATATCTGAGGAGCATTGCTGTACCTGGAGACAATGCCTGAATTCTGGACATCAAGTTAAACTCCTGCTGGCTTTTACCAAAAAGGTGGAAGTTAAACAGATACTATTCAGTTAGATGTTATGCAATAGTTCCTATTTGGTTCATCTAAGTATTCCATTTGTAACTGATGAAATCAATTTAGCTGAGATTACAATTTAGCTTAAAAAAAGAAAAACGTTATCAGTTTAACTTTTATGTCTCACATTAGGGCAGAAGAAAACATAATTTTTCAGTCTCTTCTCCGGTGGAAACAACTTCCCATCTTAATCCATGAGGCAGACAACCTGTCAACTTTCAAAACTTAAAACTTTCTTTTTTTGACAAAGCTGATAGAGTGGCTCAGGTTGTCCAAAGCCATTTCTACAGTTATACTGCTATAGGCTTAGACTGCTAGAAGACCACTTCCCTCCTCACTTTTCTACATTCCACTCCTATTCTCTAATTCTGCTTTTTTATTTAGATAAATCTCTAACTTTATTTATTTTTTATTTTTTTTTCCACATCATAACACCTTCATCTGGTCTGGAGCTGTTTAGCTCTGACATGACCCTGAAGGAGGCTTCAGCTGGGATGCTGCTGCCATCAACAACTATAATTTTAGATGATAGGACTAAACACTGAAAAACAAGGCCCACTTTGGTTCTCTTCTAGATATGGGCTCAGCTTGTACTTTGACCAACTATGAACCATCTTCTTTCCCTCTGACTCGAAAACTGGCTTCATCAGCTTAACCGTCTTTCCTGGACAAACAAACCTATGGAGCTAGTTTACCATTACCGTCTTTAACATAGAAAGCATATATGGATCAGTGCTTCAATGTTCCTTTGGTATGTCTGCTTCATTTAAAGGAATTTTTCATTTCCACTGTCACTGTGTGCATGCTCAGAGCAAGGGATTGCTGCAGAGTCAATGACATAATGCCAGCAAATGTCGACTGTCGCCATATGCTCATCCAGGAGGAGCGAATCCTGCAAAGTTAATGACTGGGTGCAATCAGCTGTGTTTCTTTAAATAGAAAAATGTAATCTGTCTGAATGATCTAATAGAATCAACTCCTTAATCTGAACTGAATTTAAATCAAATTGTGAATTATTCTAAATTTTGATTAGTGAGTAAAATATTTTCACCCCTACATATATAGACAATATCTCTAGCTGTAAAATTCGGAGTATGATCAGTATTCAGGAAGTGTAACCCTTAGCTTTCTTCCTCTTGGTGATGGCCAGTACACACTGACATGTTTATGTACAGCCAACCACAGCTGCTGTTATGTAAGAGCTTCCCCTTCTATTTCCAGCTTCTATGCAGGATGTAATGGGAAGGCTTCTGTCCTTCTCTGCATGCAGCAGCGCGGCTTGTGTTCATTTATTCATCATCATGTTTCATCTCTTCTTTTTCAGCCCTTTAGCAATGAAAAATGAACGCCCTCTCGATTTGAAGCGATAACTTTACACATTTAAACACGTTCAAGCTGGACAGTAACCAGAGCCAATACGAATTAAAGTCTCACTTTAAAACCCAGCAGAGCAGCATTTGTTTGTCAGCATGGCTTACCTATTCTCTTCTGATCCGTGATGTCAAGTTCTGGTTCAGTGTACGGCTTCAGCTCGTCCTCTTCAAATCCAGAATTGATCCATCGATCCTTCATGATTTGCTAAAAATCAAAGGGAGACAGCTGTAGTCTGATTCATTGCATATTCATAAAGATTACATATATTTTTTTACATGCAAATAGTAAAATATTGTGACTGTACCCATAAATACACATTTAATCTGTCTTTTTGATGCATTTGACATTTTACTAAAACCTTTGCAGAAACACAGATGTGGCATCAATCACATTCAGATGAGATAAGTAAAAATCTGCATCTATATTGAACTCAGATGGATCCCATTAGGAAGCAGCGTTAACTTTAATTCCAGGTAATCAATGGCTCTCTGGGGTTTTGATAAGGGAATATCCCAATCAACCCGTTCAGCTTCTGACGTAACTGTCCCAGTTAAGGTCAATGAAGCCACATCCAGAGGAGACAGACTGACATCCAACAATCACACCAGCTACAAATGCATTTGTTCTTTTACAACAAGCTCCACAAAATTCTTCAAGACTCCTTCACTGAAATATAAACAACGTCTTTATGAAACAAAGGAAATCTGCCCAGTATGTTTCTGCCTGGGTTGATGTGATAGTTACTCAAGATTTTGTTTTGTTTTTGTCCGTTTTTCATCAGATGATGCATATGTGCTTTACTTTGCATCTCTCAGATGATCCAGCAGAGAAGCTGAAAAATTTGCAGCAGGAAAAAACACTTTGAAACCTTCATAGTTATAAAAGTGAAGTTACACTTATTGGTATCACTAAAGTAAATCTTAGGGTCAAGAGAAGTTCATGATATTTGCTGTTAAAATTTAAACATATTTTACTTTCAGAGCTGTATTGTCTGACATTCATGATCAGTGCATTGGCTTACGAAAATTAAACCCTGCAAATATATTAAATATATGCTGGAAACACAAAATGCTGTTTTTCTGTTGTAATAATTTAAGCTTATTTCATCAAGCACTGAGGATTAACATGTGGTGGTCTGAAGTCATTTCTATTTTTTTTCTCAGATGATCAGATGTAAAAAATATGTAAAAATCTAAATCTTATTTCAACTTTACAAAATAAATGATCCAAATTTTTGAAATATTATACAAAATTTTATTCTATTTGGGGGAAAGGAAGTAAAACTTCATTTTTATAAACTTGATGACTGGGGCTTGGTTGGGAGATGAGTCATTTAAAGTTGTGGGTTCGATTCCAGCTTTTTCTAATCACATATTGAAGTGACTCCTGTGTTTGGGGGAATTCTAGAGAAGTCGCTGCTTCAACACATCTGATCCCAAAAGAGCTTATCAGCAGAGGAAGACTGAGTTTAAGTTCACCAACTTTTCAGACTCTGAAAATAATGGTGCCACAGACGGATGCCCTACAAATACACAATTTCGTTCATCATCATAGTTTGAGGGAATAGTTTTTTTTTTTTAAACAGATTTCTTTGTTACATTTAATCTTTTTAAATGCTTTTTAATTATCCAAGGGGAATTTAATTATTAAATTGTGTATTTTATAATTCACTTGTGTATTTACTGTAATATTGGATCAATTTAAATATAAAGTAGCATGTAAAATTTAAAATCTACCAATTCCATCGTACATTTATTTATTTTGCGATAAGTTTTTCTTTCTACATAACTTCACAATAAGCATGTTTTTTGTTGCTAACATTTGGTGTTGGAAGCTGAAGGATGATTTTTTTCACAGTGGTAACAGCGATGGGCTCAAAGGTTTAATCATGACATTTAAACTGAACATTTCTGTAGCAGAAAATTTCACCAAACTGCTGGATCCTCCAGTAACTGTTAACAGAACAAATTAAAGCCCAAACATTTTCCAGATTTAAAGCAACAGTAACACTGATGTATGGTGGCAACCCTTGGTCTGTGTTTGAGCTTGCAGCATAAAACTATTCTTCAAAAATCAGTCCGATATAAAGGAAGGAGCAGACTGCACAAACAAATTCAGGTTGGAAAGATAACAGAAGAACTGAGATGTATTATTCATATATACAACATCCAAAAGGAGGAGGAGTGTGGGCCAGAGAGACACAGAAAACAGGACACTGTGGGCGTTAGAGGAGATGATGCATGGGCAGAGAGGAGGAGGGGGGGTAAGATGGCATTCTGCAACGTGCTACAGGGAGAGGATTAAGAGCTAGGTAGGATATTTACATTTTCTGCGTCCACCCTCACCTCGAGAGTACCACGCTTAGCAGGGTTGAGGACCAGGAAGCGTTTAAGGAGGTTCTCACAGTCCGTGGACATGTAGAAAGGGATGCGATACTTTCCTCTGAGAACGCGTTCACGAAGCTCCTGCACAAAACAAATGGAGGCGGTTAAAAAAAATAAAAAATAAATGAAAATATTAAAATCCATCTGGCTTCAAATAAAAAAAATTAACTCCTCAAATAGATCATCTAGACCAGACTGAATTTATTATAAGATACTATAGCATGCTGTAAATAACAATGATCTATTAGACACTCCACACTCTGTTCACAGCATGAAACTCAATATAATTAAAAAATATGCAGTTTAAAAATGATTATAAAAGCCTGAAAGTCAAGGAGTTTTGAACCCAGCAGAAGGATTAAAATAGATTTGATGAATAATTGTCCATTAGACCGTCTATGGAGAGACATACCATGAGACACACACTATGTGAGGGGATCTCAGCTCAGGTATTCTATTTATAAACCCTTTCATCGAGCTTTAAAAGCATCAGGATAATTTCTGACAGCCTGCTGGGAAAACATCAGAACATCAATTCTACTGCATCAGGCACGAATCCTGTTTCTAAATCAGTGACAAGGTTTGTAGACTCTGTGTGCTGCGATGGTTCAGATACATTTCCAATACTAAGAGGTGAGGTCAGCAGCAGAGAAGCTCAAATCCAGCGTGGTTTATCAAGAAAATCTAAAAAAAAACAAAGTAAACTGATACCCAAGATGTGCTGTGCTTTAATAACAGAATGAAATCAGATAAACATTTTTAGCAGGCTGCCCTAAGAACAAAGGAAGCATTAGACACAATCTTAGATCTCCATTAGCTGAAGTGGTGCAAAAAAGAAAAACCCAACCTAGGCTATTTGACCATGAAGCCAGTAATGAAAGCTTGAGGTCAGTCGCAGCATGAAAATCCTACCTTGAGATTCTGTCCATCAAAGGGCAGGGAGCCGCTGACCAACGTGTACAGGATGACCCCCAGACTCCAGACATCCACCTCCGGCCCGTCGTACTTCTTTCCCTGGAACAGCTCCGGCGCTGCGTACGGCGGAGAGCCGCAGAAAGTATCCAGCTTGTTGCCCAAAGTAAACTCGTTGCTGAAGCCAAAATCGGCTATCTTTATGTTCATGTCTGCGTCTAGCAGCAAGTTCTCCGCCTTTAGATTAAATGAAAAGGAAAAACATTAAATGCTGCCCCTCTTTATAAAACACTATATTTCAGTTTTTTCTTAAACAAACACAAAAAAATTACCACAAATTAATCTAACTTTCAACTTCAAAATTTCTCAATTTTTCTACAACTCTGTAAACAGATCTAAATGAGCACTGATCATCCTGGCTGTACCATCAAGATCCCTGTGCAGAAATAGAATAATAAAAGCTATAAAAAACCAAAGTCAGGGGAAGTAGATGAAGGAAGACACTTTTTAAAAGGAAACCATTTTGATTGAAAGGTTTTCCAGCTGTTCCATCAAGCTGCTGGAAGAGTGAGAGAGAGCTGAAGGCTTTCCACTGAAATGCATAAAGAGAAGCTGCCATGTTTGATCCTTTTGAGCTTTAACCAGTCTTAACCAATGATGCACCATCTACAAAGACACAGCTGCTTACAATAAAGTGGCCTCGTTTTTTTGTTTAATTTTTAATGACATTATATAAAGAGCTGCATTTTTCAAGAAACTAGTTTGCCTTCAGCTTAATTTCTCCTTTGTCCATCTTTATAATACACACCCAGGGACGTATCCAATCAGTGACCATCTTAAGTGACTGAGATCTATTTGTGGCTTTAAGCTCTTTTTGTGCAATTCCAGACAAGGAATCAGGACAAATGTGGTTGAGGAATCTAAACCTGAAGCTACAACCGACGGTCCTGTTATAAATCAGCTAAAGGGTCAGGCCCTCAACTCAGGCTCTGGATGATCAGCTGACAAAAATCAGTCATGACTTAAGGTTCCACATGTAATAAATTACAATAAGTCAGTGAATGACATCCAACTGTAATATCAGACTGCAATCTAATCCTATAGCAGAAAATAGCCACTTATACTCAAAAACAATTATCTCACTCTCAGCAGATTCAGATCGACCAAGTTGTGTTTCTATCTTTCATCGGATTACAGTTGCATGAATCAAAGATTGCTCTGGTCCACAGTCAACAACACCCGCCGTTGCTAATTTATGCACCCCTGGCAGCAAATGCTTTTACAATACAAACAATTCAAGTTTAATCCAAGTTTTCAAAGAGAAATTATAATCCAGAAAAAGCTGTATCTGAAAATCAGAGCGAACTAGACATGAGTCACAAACATCTTAAAGCTGGACCTCTAAATAAAACTAGAGTTTTCAGGTTAACAATTCCCCTGAAATACTGTTTGTCATCCTTTATCTGCATTCCCATTTCTCTTTAAGACTATGACCATCAAATTACATGTTGGAGACAAAATGTCCAGTGAGCATAACAGACTGGATTTGCTTAGAAGTTCATGCAAATCTTTCCTCAATGCAGAAATACAGTCATCAGGAAAATTAGAACACCTTTAAAGGGATAGTTCGGTATTTTTGACATGAATCTGTATGGCATCCCCATCACCAGTGGCATGCAATCACACTGACTTACCCCTGGCAGCGTCCTGTGAGCAGAGTTATCGTCCAGTTTTGGTCAAGCCGAAAGTAGTCCGTCAGGTTTTTAGGAACAGCGAAATAAAACTTTTCTCTTCCCAAAACATTATGTGTTCAAAAGAGCGATATTTTTGCATCCCAAAAACTTTGTAGTGGAAAAAGTCACACGTCGTTATCACTTGGTCCTATTTTCTCTCTGTTCGTATCAGTGCGCGCCGTCATTCAGACAGCGAGAACCTGACAACAGCCATGTCTCCCTCCGCCCAGCTAGGCGGAGGAAGACATGGCACATAATGTTTTGGGAAGAGAAAAGTTTTATTTCGCTGTTCCTACTTTCGGCTTGACCAAAACTGGACGATAACTCTGCTCACAGGACGCTGCCAGGGGTAAGTCAGTGTGATTGCATGCCACTGGTGATGGGGATGCCATACAGACTCATGTCAAAAATACCGAACTATCCCTTTACAGGTGCTGGTCATAAAATTAGAATATCATGAAAAAGTAGATTGATTTCAGTAATTCCATTTAAAAAGTGAAACTTGTATATTATATTCATACATTACATACAAACTCATATATTTCAGATGTTTATTTTGTTTAATTTTGATGATTACAAATGACAACAAATGAAAATCTCAAATTCATCATATCAGAAAATTAGAATATTACTGAAGACCAATAAAAACAAAGGATTTATAGAAATGTTGGCCAACTGAAAAGTATGAACATGAAAAGTATGAGCATGTACAGCACTCAGTATTTAGTTGGGCCTCCTTTGGCCTGTATTACTGCAGCAATGCGGCGTGGCATGGAGTCGATCAGTCTGTGGCACTGCTCAGGTGTTATGATAGCCCAGGTTGCTCTAATAGTGGCTTTTAGCTCTTCTGAATTGTTGGGTCTGGTGTATTGCATCTTCTTCTTCACAATACCCCATAGATTTTCTATGGGGTTAAGGTCAGGAGAGTTTGCTGGCCAATTAAGAACAGGGATACCATGGTCCTTCAACCAGGTACTGGTAGCTTTGGCACTGTGTGCAGGTGCCAAGTCCTGTTGGAAAATGAAATCTGCATCTCCAAAAAGTTGGTCAGCTGCAGGAAGCATGAAGTGCTCTAAAACTTCCTGGTATGTGGCTGCGTTGACCCTGGACCTCAGAAAACACAATGGACCAACACCAGCAGATGACATGGCACCCCAAACCATCACTGACTGTGGAAACTTTACACTGGACTTCAAGCAACGTGGATGAAGTGCCTCTCTTCTTTTCCTCCAGACTCTGGGACCTTGATTTCCAAAGGAAATGCAAAATTTACTTTCATCAGAGAACATGACTTTGGACCACTCACCAGCAGTCCAGTCCTGTTTCTCTTTAGCCCAGGCAAGACGCTTCTGACGCTGTCTGTGGTTCAAGAGTGGCTTGACACAAGGAATGCGACAGCAGAAACCCATGTCTTTCATACGTCTGTGTGTGGTGGTTCTTGAAGCACTCACTCCAGCTGCAGTCCACTCTTTGTGAATCTCCCCCACATTTTTGAATGGGTTTTGTTTCACAATCCTCTCCAGGGTGCGGTTATCTCTCTTGCTTGTACACTTTTTTCGACCACATCTTTTCCTTCCCTTCGCCTCTCTATTAATGTGCTTGGACACTGAGCTCTGTGAACAGCCAGCCTCTTTAGCGATGACCTTTTGTGTCTTGCCCTCCTTGTGCAAGGTGTCGATGGTCGTCTTTTGGACAACTGTCAAGTCAGCAGTCTTCCCCATGATTGTGTAGCCTATAGAACTAGACTGAAAGACCATTTAAAGGCTTTTGCAGGTGGTTTGAGTTAATTAGCTGATTAGAGTGTGGCACCAGGGGCCATCAATTTTGAACCTTTTCACAATATTCTAATTTTCTGATATGATGAATTTGAGATTTTCATTTGTTGTCATTTGTAATCATCAAAATTAAACAAAATAAACATCTGAAATATATGAGTTTGTATGTAATGTATGAATATAATATACAAGTTTCACTTTTTAAATGGAATTACTGAAATCAATCTACTTTTTCATGATATTCTAATTTTATGACCAGCACCTGTAATATCCTGTTTTTGTTTAACTTACTGGGATATTTACTACCTAAACTGGAAAAACAAGTAGAAATAAGTTAAAATTTTATTTTTATTTATTACCCTTAATTTGAGTAGGTCAATTAGATAGTTTGCCAATGGAATGAGTATTTTTACTCTTTTTAATAAGATAATTAGATAAAATGCACTTGAAATAAGACAATGCAATTGTGTTTTCTTATCTTAAATGTAAATTGTCTTGTTCCATTGGAAAAATGTCTACTTTTCCTCCTCAATCCAAGAACAAATGAACTTATTTTAAGAAAGATTTTCTTTCCAGTGTAAAATGGCTAAAATTGGATAAAAGTTAATCAGGCACCCATGAGTAGATCATCCTTTCTAACAAAGTTCGCCCTGAAAGAGTGAGAAAAACCGGCACGTTGACACTGAAATGAGCCTGAGGCTTTCAGACAGAAAGCTGTAAGAGTTTAGCATTTTTAAATGGAATTAGTTAAGGTTCCAGTATGATCCGAAATCAGCCTTTTTTTTACTGTATGAAGAAAAAACTAGAGGAGGATAAAGTTAAGGATATCAGAGCAATATCGCAATAATCGCAGACTGGAAGATGCTAAACTCGATCTACTACCCTTCAGTAACAATAGGACATATAGCACGGCTCTTCCTACAGTTACAATGTAAAAAAGGAAAAAAAAATGTTCTTAAATTTAACTTGTTTTGAGCAGGTCAGACTATTTGTCAATTGAATAAGATAATTGACATTGAAAATAAGAAAAAAAACTAATCTTAGAGGGGTGTATGTTGTCTGATTTTCTTGTTTCAAGTACAAAAATACTAATTTTATTGCCACATCAGCTCTTTACCTGCTCAAGTCAAAATTAATTGTGAAAAAAACGTATGATCAGAATGAGAGGAGTGGCAGCCTAGTGGTTAGGGCATTGAGCTTGGGTCCCAGAGGTTCTGAGTTCAAGCCCCACTCCCACAGACTGCCACTCTGGGTCCCTGAGCAAAGATCCTGAACCCCACACTGCACCCTAAGAGCAACACAATGGCAGCCCACTGCTCCCAAAAGGAGATGAGTTAAATGCAGAGTTCATTTCATTGCTCTGTACTTGTGAGCTGTAAGCTGTAAGTTTACACAAGTTTATATTTTTATGGGATGTCTGCAACATTTGGTGTCCAACAAAGCCATCCAGAACAGACTAAATCCCACCAGACAGTTTAAAATTGAATTAATTGACATCAATCCAACACAGCTTTTAAGAGAAAAAACAAGACCTGGTCAGCTGGGTTGTTTCTTTTAACTATGACGCTGCTGCTTTTATCATATCTTATTGTTTTTACCTGTACAGAGTCCTTGAGTGTTTTAAAAGGCAATTGAATAATAAAAAAAAAAATGTGTTAAACATCACTGAATCCTCTTTGAACTTTACTGAATCAGATTAGACTTCAGGAAAATGAAGTGAACTGTGCAACATGACAGTGACCAAGAACTAGCTTAGATTATAGATACTGATAAACCAGGTGGGCTTTAAGTCCAGGAATCCATGCAGTGGGTGATTTATTGCTCCCTTTACTCAGACTGACTGCTGGTGGGCGGATGGAAGCTTCTTAAACCAGATGGGATGACAGAAACCATTAGAGGCTGGGGTATCCTAACTTCATCCACACTTCCTTGATCTTTTGTTAAACTTGAGGAGGATATCCCACAACTGTATTCCCTGTGCATTTAGAGAAGGCAGAGCAGCCTCCTGTTTCATCAGCTGTTCATGGATCACTGATGATGCTCCACAGAGGAGAGGATTCAGCAGAGCACAAATGCTCAGCGTCTTTTGGCTGAATGACATCCACAGATACACCGTTTTAAATCACCAAAGATGAATATTTAAACAAGGGGAGCACAAAGGGAGTGGCACAGCAGCGAAGGACACGTGAGGAAGGCCAGAATCGACTGAATGCGTACAGACCCCCCCCCGGCTGAAGTGCAGTGATCCAATTCAGAAACGGGAGTGGGACTGGAGAAAAGCCGTCAGCATGCAGGTTTTTGGTATGAAGGCGTGGTGAGTTTGAGTTATAAAACTGAACACGCAGGAATGACGTCTGCTCACTACACTCTGACCTTTTCTACAAAATGAGTCAGACATAATTAGCCTGCATGGGGGGCACTATTTTTAAGCTCTACTACTGTTGAAGTGCATTTTCTAATCATTCATCTCTAAGAATTAGTATCCTGCTTTTAAGGAATATATCAATATGATCAGATAGATTTCAACTTTGCATTCAATTCTGTAAAAACTGGCAGTTTTTTTGTTTGTTTTTTTACGTGGCCTTTCTGGACTCACCTTCAGGTCTCTGTGAACAATGTGCTTCTGGTGGCAGTACTGCACAGCTGATACAATCTGTAGAGGAGGGAGAGGAGCAGCAATCAGCACAGTGTTGTCATGTTTTCAGACAGAGATAAAGGATGTGGTAGAGAGTGCGATGTGGTCGACGCCAACAGGAAAGATAAAACGCATAGAGGGAGGAGCTTAAGACACAAGAAAGGTGAGAAAATATGTTTTCCTACAGGCAGTAGCTGCTCATCACTGTAAAAGGATTGCAAGCGAACTGTATTCAAGCTGCTTGAACATTTTCATTACTATTAAACTTTAATGGATTGTTCTGGGTGTTCATAGGCGAAACTGACATAACTGTGCCGAACTGTAAGCAGAGGGAAAATAAACCAACCAGAATTTATAAACATTCAAATCTATCATGTTTGTTAAAGCTCTAAAAAGGCATCCTGAGTCACTATGCTTTCACTCACACAGCAGGACTTAATGATCAATTCAGGTTGATTCAGAAGTATTTTGCTCTGAGGAGGTTGGTTCTTTTTAGTTTTATCAAAAATGGTGCTTTTAAAGGGGCAACATTTTCACTTTTTTGTATCAAACGTATTATTTAAGAACAAGACTTTACTAATGGCAAAAAAAGACTAAGGAAGCAGAAAAGGATGATGTATTTAATGATTTATTGTATCGGTTATGTAATGAAGACAGAAATGATGAAAAGTTATTTTCAACCATGACATTCGCTAAACAAAGCTTGCTGCTCATTTTAATAAAAACCAAGCTGTTACTGAAATAAACAAACATTCTTATTGGCCGCTTGTTTACGATAGCATCTACTTTATTTTTTTCATGCTCTCCATGTGTTTTTATTTAGCACTTATCTGATTTACTATGTAGCCCTTTTGGATTTGTATAAATATAAAGTGTATTACAAATCCAATGTATTATTATTACTATTTAAACCACATAGGACATTTGCCCTTCTTTTGTAAAAAATAATGATCAGATTTGATCAACCTGGGGTGAAAAAGTGGAATTTGGGTGGTATTTTCCTGCAGTGGGAACATGACCTACTTTAACTTATGCCCCATTTACACTAGCCCTCTGAAACCGATCCATGCCGAGTTCGGACCGAGCTTAGATCAGTTAACCGTGCAGTGCTTGATTCTTACGACCATTTACACACCACATTAGCACGGTTCATCGACTTCTATCTGCGCTCCAGGATACAACGGCTTTCAAGGCGGGAATTACACAAACAAAAATGGCGCCGCCCATAACATAGAGGAACTTCCGCGCCTAAATAGCATCGTCTGCCCAAATTTCAACGAGAGCCTCTGTTTTAGCATCATCCCAGGTCGCACAGCACTTTGTTGATGCTATTTATTGTTAAAATGCTGAGAAGAAGCTTGTGCCGTAAACAGGTGAAGAGGTCTGAACTGCAAAACTGGACGCGCCGGAAAACCCGCGAAATTAGTCAGCTGACTGTTAATAGGAGATGACGCATAAGAAAAATCAACCTAGACTCTCTTCACACTTTTGTTATGGATGTTCAGTTATCATACAAAAATCCTGGATTGGCTTGTTATCCCTGCTCATATTTCCATCGTGATGGAAGCTTGTCTGTATGAAGTAATTATCACTTTCCTTTCCAAATAAAATAAAAAAAAAATAGATTTGTCTGTGCTCTTTGTTATCACAGAACCGAGCCCTACTGATGATCTGGTACTAGATTTAGCATGGTACGGTTGTGTCTGCCACGGTCCAGTTCAGTTGCGTTTCATTTACACTCAGTTATCTTGGCTAACGTCCTCGGACTGTTCTTGGCATGGTTTCAAAAGGGGCTCAAAGCTGGTCTTTAGAAGTTAGTCTCCATTGGATTTCATCTGAGAGGGAAAGTTTTAAAAAATGTCTGATTAAAAAATAATTAAATAAAGATTAAATTGATAGCATATATGCTGCTGGGAGGTGAACTTGGTGCCTCAGTCTAAAGTCTCATTTAGCCTCTAGCAGGCCTTAGTCCTAGGAGAGACTCCCCTGTGTCTTTTGAAGAAAAGAAGTCCCGTCAAATGATGCTGAATCACCGTTTCTCACAATGAAGAGCAAAACACTTTCTACACAGGCCAGAAAGAGATCTTTGGCTGCATAGACCAACATCTTCTGCATATTTGCCATGTGACACGCATGAATGGTGAAAACCTGATGAGGCTTTTATTTACACGGCCTAACCCTCCCTGACCCTTTGTTTACTCCATCGAGTAAACAAAGCAAAATCAGGAATCGGAAAGGTGAAATAACTTTTTTTTTGTTTTTTTTCCACATGGGCATTGTCACTTTAATCTTAAATTTAAAATAATTGTTGACTGCAGATGTGTCTAGTAGCTCTCATTGATTCTGCTTGTAAAGCGGGGAGAATGGCGCTAGGCTTTCCGCACCGTGACTTCACTGCTGGAAGATGTCAGGAGTGAGGTGTTACTATATTTGGTCTGGCCGCTCCCAGACTCCGTGATCTCAACGAAAAATATCGTTTTCATTTTTTTTTTACTGATTTACGCTGAATTAATTAAATCACGTAAATAAATCAAGATTATTCCTTGCTGACCGGACTTTTCCTAACATGCAATAGATTTATTTTTTTTACTTTGTACCCACTTTTAGTCTTTATAAAACCAGCAAAAGGAAAGCTTGTCGAACTGGTTTTCATGAATGTTTCATTAATGACGTCGCTGGGTTTATTCAGTTAGGCTCTGGGCCAGTTTCTTCTCTTTGTGGAGCCGTGTTATGGGTAAGAACTGTTTAAACATCTCTGTTCTGCCTGCCGTCCTCTGAGACAGGCTGCAGAACAGGGTGATGTCTGAAGCAGAGTCTAGAGCAGAGGTGTGAAACCAGAACACTGCAGGGGAGGAAAGTTAGATACCTGTCTAAATTTAGCTCTGGCCTCTTTTTCCTTCATTCTCCCGTGTGCAACCAGGTAGTCAAACACCTCACCTGTGAAAACAGACAAAAAACAAAACAAAAAAATCAGAAACTGTTTGATGAAAAGTAGAAAAGGATGGAGATGAAATCAAAGGAATTATGACTGCTAAAGCTGAGGAGATAAAAATAACTTTTTTATGCAGCTGGCATGTGCATGTTTGAGGGCATTTCTTGAGCTTACTGACGCGAGCTAACTGATGCGTCCTCCAAACTGAGCCCCCCCCCCTGAAGGCACAAAGCTGCTGCAGAGTTCCAGAAGCAGACGCTTCTCCTCTTCACACATCTACACACCCACTGCACCGCAAAATACGACCAAATTTCAGCTGCACCGGTTTGTATGTCTGACGATCAGTAAAGGCCCAAACGTGAACTACAGAACCTGCCAAGAGGTTCCTTCCTGGATGCTTGAAACATGAATTAAGCCCTCTTCTCGCCCATAGATGACCTGCAGAGGCGATCAGTGTGTGTTTTTGTGCTGGAAAGCTTAAAAATCTGTGAGCTCTGACTCAAAGCCAAAAACAGTGAGCTAGCTAACACCAAAATAAAGCAGGCCAGCTGAAAAGATCATCAAGGGGGATTCAAGGAGAGAAAAGTTAGCAAAAAAAGGGTGATAACTGGTACCAGTATGCACAAATCTATAAAATTAACATGCTGCCATGTAATTTAACATGCAGGATGTAACCTATATTAAATCTTGAACACACTAAACTTTTGGGTCTGAGCTCAAGGATCCAAGGAAAAAACTATTTACAGATACGGCAGGCTGCCTTTTCCTGCCCCACATCTCGAAAATAAAGAATGTGAACAAGTTGTTTGAGAATCAGAAACCATTTTAATAAAGTAACCATATTCTGCAGCTGCCAGTCATTAGGTGAACATGTTGGGACTGAGATTTCTGCTCACACCTTAAGACTAAACCTTGTTGGAGGGTTTTCTTTTGTGAGCAGCTTACTCCAAGGCAAATCACAGATTGTCAATTGGATTGAGGTTTGACTTTGACTCGGCCACTCCACGCTGTGAGCGTTCCTCTTACTCCATGTATGTGTTTGTTCAGCAGTATGCTGCAGGTCATTGCCCTGCAGGAAGGTGAACCTTTGTCCAGGTCTCACTGGCAGACTGACGGCTGTTGGTCATGAATATTTGTCTATTTGTCACTCTCCATTTTCCACTCAGCTAAAACCAGTTTCTGCTTCAGAAAAAAACTCCCCACAGCATGATGCTGCCGCCACCATGCTTCATGGTGTGGATGGAATTGTTTGGGTGATGGGATGTTCAGGGTTAAAGTCAGAGCTCCTCCCTCATTCATTTGAAGAGCAGTCCAACCTGCCCTGTTATTTCTAACACTAATGTACAGCCTTTTCCCCCATAAAGCTCAACTGTACCTGACTGTAACTGTACCTGTACAGACTATACGGCGATGATTCCCCACCCTGTTCCTCAGGGACCCCTGCCCTGCACGTGTTAGATGCATCTCTGCTCCCGCACACCCGATCCAAATGTTTGATCTTCCTCTGCATGCCATCAAGTGCTGCAGAAGCCTGTTTTTCACCCCTTTGTTTACGTTAATGGCGTGGCATCAAGGTGAAACCCAAAACAAGTTCATAGCACCACAAATGACAGGCCAGGAACATTTGACTCTTATTCCTGATACTCAGGTCCTGCAATGATTTTAAAATTCTGATCAAAGTTGCCATCTTGTTATGCTTTTGGCACTTATTAATTCCTTCTCAGTCAAATCAAAGATGCTGTTGCACAGCATGGGCTTTCATTGTTGCATTATCAATTGCAGACACTTGAATTAAAACATACTTTAACAATAAAAAGGAAAAGAAATAATGCAAAAATGAAAATCTCTCTTACAGAGAACCCTGGGGTGCTCTGGGTGCAGACTAAATGCTTTGGGCAATATTTATAAAATGACTAAAAAAGGTTTGTTGGTAAATTATACTTTAACAGTTTGGGAGCACGACACTAAGTTTGTGAACTTTGTGTGAGCGGTGTAGCTTCTCCTTTACATTAAAGACCTCTTGGAGCAAAGCAGGAGCAACAAGAACAGATTTTTTTTAGGGAGAAAGAAAAAAAGCAGGAATTTAACCAAAATCATTCGTTTTGCTTCAATCTTGTTTGAAAACCTTTAAAACGCTGAATTCATGTTATCCATCTGTCTGAGAAAATAATGATGAAATGCAGCTCAGTGAGCGGAACAAAGGTCTAAGGCTCTGGAATCAGGAAGGTTTAATACAGAACACATCATGTAAGACATGCAGTTTACTTTAGAGGCAAATCCTGCTGATATGGAAGATATTTCTTTTTATATATTTAATGAAGCAATTTAAGGTTGAAACGCTTATGTAAACATTTAGTCTCACCTCCACTGGCATACTCCATCACAAGGTAAAGTGTCCTCTCAGTTTCAATCACCTCGAACAGCTTGACTACAGACAGAAGGAAAAATAATGAATTCAATCATATTGAGAAACAGGCACAGAATGAGGAAATGAATTCATGAACACGAACAAGAAGAACACAGAATAAAAAGATGTCGCGCAGGCCTTGTGTGTGGGGGTGTGTGGTGATAATGGAAGCATTGCATAGAGGAGGGGGAAAAAAAAATCAAACATCAGAAGTAAAAATGTTTTTAATGCTTCTGATAAAAGCCTGCGTAGAAAACGGCTAAGAGTTCTGCTAAATATAGAAAAGGTGGGATATTAAAAAAAACGGAGATGAGGAGGGAAGGCTTTTTTTCATCATAACCCTTCTCATCCCACCGATGAAATTATGAAGCGAGCAGAAAGGAAATCAATGATTAATCATCATAGAATCTCATTAATGATTCAAAACTATCACTGAGCCAAAGACTCAGAGAGAGAGATTGCTGCTACTCCTATATCGATAGTCTTTCATTTATCTTCTCTTTGCTTTTCCTTTCAACCTTCCTTCCATGTTGGAGGCGATACTCATATCCCCTTAACATGCAAATCCTTTGATTGACCCAGAGGCTTTGCTCTGATCCAGCTGCAGCTGCAGTAACACAGCTGTGCACAATTACTGATTTTTACTGGGTAGAAAAAAAAAAAAGACTTGATCATTGCTCACTTTGGCTTGACAGAAAGATGCCAGATCTGCTTTGGTCCTGCGCATGCCAGTGACGCTACGCTACATGATTGGCTGTACGTTGCCACATGATGTAAAACATCAAACCGAGTCGGCATTAGCATGACCAATGAAGTTTTACCAGATCAGTAACAAAACTGAAACAAACCTGTCTATGGTGAACAAAGTAGCTGTTAGACCATGATATAAAGAGGGAGAGCTGGGTATGCTGTGGTTAGCTGTGCTCAGTAGCTAACAGATTAGCCTCTTTTAGCTTTGTCAGTTAGCCATATTAGGCTACGCTACTTTTAAATTCGTGTCAAAACAACCGTTTGTTTTCTACAAGTAGAATAACTGTTTTATTTGTCTAAAATCTCTACTAAAGTCATTTTTTACGATGTCCCATTTGTCGTCCTCTGCTCTCAGATCTTAATAAAAAGAATAAAAATAAGCAGAGACTTTTTTATTGGAACCTTGTTAAATGGCAGAGCTCAGTCTAAGCACACAGTACTGTCCTTCAAGACAATGATTGTTTTCTACTTTAAATATATAGGTGATATATAGATATGTTAACACCAAAAGAGATTTGATCCTTAAGAAACGGGTGCAATAGAGTTTGTCCGAGTGGAGTTGCCATATGTTGACGTCATAAGATGGGGCAGGACCCCGAACAGATCTGGTTCTTACAGCGGCCGTCTGAAAATCCTTCACCTGCCTGCAAAGCACTCTGTGACCGAGTCTGAAGAGTTTAACAGTTTTCACAGAGCTTTTCTCATGTTTATGTGCAAACAACAAGAAAAATATGTTTAAAGGCTCATTAAAAGTCAGTTTTGGTCTAATTTCAACGCTGGCAAGAATTCTGATATAAACAAAATATAACTACAAGGGGTTGGAATTTAATTGCATTTAAAATATAATTGCAATTTAACAAAATGTCATTTTTAAATTGCGCAGCCACCCAATCTTAGTAACAATACATTAAAGAGTAAGACACTACATTTCTATCTCCAGCCTTCCTTTGGGTGTAGTATGTACACCTAAAGTAGATTTGCTGCCACAAAGAAGGGAAAAGAAAGTTGCAACTAGAATGTAGATCCATGCACGCAAGTAGAAGTAGGCGACTTTCCACACGGAGGTCATTGTAAAGTCTAGGAACATAAAGTCTAACTAAGCTTTTAAAGTCATGAAAAAAAATAAAACCTTAGGAGTGAAACATCTACAGGCTGCTGATGAGTCCAAAGAAAATTTAAATAAAAATCTCAATTTTGGTTGAACATAAACTCAATTTAGATCTTTGTTAAGATCATTCAGCCCCAATAAGTAGAAAGGTTTATTAGGAATTAAGTAAAATCATTGTATTTTATCTTTATCATAAAGGAACCTACAGATTGCATTTGGAGTTTTGTTGACTCAGACATGATTGTTTAGGTGAACCCAGATTTGTATTGACTATGACACAAATAAATATTCCAATAAGGATTTCCTTCAGAGCTAATTATATAGAAATGCTGATTATTATGAATATTTACTGATCTCTGACATAAGATCAAAATCTTATAATCATTTGATGATGATGATCTTTTCATTTGTCCAAAAATGGCAAAACTTTGCTTTATGTCACACCCATTTTTCAGTCATTAGAGAAGCTAAAAGCGTGCCCATGGTAACAGGGCTAGGAGGATTGTTTATTGGGGTTCTTAAATCTTATTTTATCAGATGAGTTAAAGAGTCGCCCAAACAGGTTAAAATCTGCATTATTTAGTGAAATCATGTTAACTTGAAAAAATGATGATAATTTCAATTTTCTATAAATGCACACAACATCTGGATTTCTGGACCATTTCAATGTAATCTTTCAGAGTTTTGTCAGAGATCCACTTACCGATGTTGGGATGATTTAAGATCTTCATTATTCTGACTTCCCTGAAAAGCTGCAAATAACAGAGAAAAATCCAGTTAGACTCCATATTGATGAAACCAGGCCTGGAACAAAAACACCAAAACACTTAGTGGGTATTTTGCTTTTCTGATAAAGTGCTAAACCAGTTTAAATATACCTTTAACTAGAATCACCAGAAATCTCAATTCAATTAAATTCAGTTTATTTCTATAGCGCCAATTCACAAAACACATCATCTCAAGGCACTTTACAGTTCAACCAGATCATCCAGTCAAGTTGATTCAAAGTTTTCTATCTAAGGAAAACCAGCTGACTCATTGATTCACTGATTCTAATGCAATTCTTAACATCCCTCACAAATCTGAGAGCCATATAAACCAGATGGTATTCATATTCCCCAAGACACCAAATAAAACGCAGCTGATTAAACATTTATTCACTGTTAATCTTTTTTAGATTATTAAATTGCCCTTTAATCAGATAAATGTATAAAATCTATAAAAACCTTTAAGGTTTGTGATATTTTATTGAGTGAGCCTGCAGTATTGGATGGGTTAAGCTTTTTAAGCAAATACGTCAACATTCAGGGTAAGTAGTAAAGCAAACGCAGCAAAAAGTGTTTCCCCATTCAGCCATACAGCCAAGCAGCACTGCAGCATGAATTATTGACCAGCTGTTAACTAAACTAATGCACCGCCATTCCATGAAAATCTAAAAAGGTTTACATTTTTTATGAGGTCCTGCCCACCATGATGTGGTCAGGCGTGCTGATGAACGAACCAGTGCAAAGGAAGCTGGAAGACCCATTGAGGAGGGGAAAAAAAGACAAAAAAAAAAGGTTTTAAATGGATGAACAAAAGGTTTCTGCTTCTTTTGGCTGTCAAACAGGAGATAATAAGTACGCATTTTTGGGGACTTTCAAACAGACGATTGTTTCTTCTAGTAATTTGATGTTTGCAGAGCAGCACCAGGTTGCTGTCAAACTAGGGGTGGAACGGTTTATGAAAACCGTCCGATTCGATTCGCGTGTGTTGCATTCGGTTCATGCGAAATGTTCTTTAAAGAAGATTTTTTTTTAATCAAATTAAATCAGAAGAAACTAAAACTTTCCTACTTCATTCTGGATAGAGCATTTGACAGACATTTTCGTTTTTAATGTTTCGATGCAAAATCTTTATATATTTTATTACAAGTTTGCTATAATTACTGCTATAAGTTGGCTTCTCTGTCAGCTAATGGCATGTTTTAGAGTCTCTATACTCCAGTTAACGATTAATTGATTACTAAATTAGTTGATTATTTCAATAATCGATGAATCACGATTAATCCGATTGTTTTATTTTATTTTAGTTGCCTTTAAAAATTGTGAGGAAGGTAAAAGTCTGACAAGTAAAGCTGATCTAAATGCAAAGTACGGACAAAAAGCCAATGTGACAGACTTTCATGTCATGTTTAAGTCCCAAAGCAGACAAGATCTGAAGCTCCACCCCTGAGCAAAGGAAACAGTGTGTTTCCCTGTGATCCAAAGCTGAAATGAATTCTGCATTTAGTTTGGAAACCAAGGTCCCAGAGTTTGAAGGGGATCTGAGTTGCCATGCAGTCAGGTTTTGCTGGTTTCAGTCTGCTACATTTGATCAAGTCAGAAGTTAGGACAGCTGTTTACAAGGACATTTTAGATGCATTCCTGCTTCTCTCTTCCAATAAGCTTCAAAATGCTGCTTTTTTTTTCCCCTCACCTGGCCAAGGCACCAAAAGCACTCAAATCTGTTTTATGTCCAGAATAACACGGACAGACTGGCCAGCAAACCTGCCTGTACCCACAGACTGCTGATGGCTTATCATCAAGAAGAAGATTAAAGACACCAGAGCTAACAGAGATGAGATACGGCAGCCTGTGCTTTCTGAACACCTCAGCAGAGCTGCAGGCTGATTTCCTTCATGCCACGCAGCACAGATCTATTTTAGATTAAATGTAGGGCTACAAATCACCATTATTTTGCTAATCGATTAATCAGTCGATAATTTTTTTCCGATTAATTGATTAATAATCAGAAAGCAAAAGGTTTCTGAAAGATGATTAATTACAGAATTAGCATTTAGTTCTGAGCTTTATATAGTAGTCTTCAAACTTGGAAACCAAGTCCACTGGATTGCTTTATAACTTTATGACCCGGATGAATGAGAATCTTCACCAGCATAATATTCACCAGCAATGATCTGTTAATTAAAATCTAATCTAATCCCTAATATTATCAAGCACTGAATGAGTTCACAGTGCATACATCCTATGTTTCTGTATGAAAACAGAACATTATATATAGTATTTCAGCATTTCCCCACATTCTGACCCTGAGGAAATCCCAAAGGACTTGGAAATGTGTCTTCTATCTGAGCTATATCATTCAGAGAACGGTAGAAAGGATGGCAAAAAGTGCTGGCAGGGGGGCTGAGCAACAGGCAGAGGTCTACTGACAGATTCAAACTCACAAATGTTCTGGGACGCCTTCTGTCCAAGTTCTGCCTAAAAGGCTGACAGATGGCGATGAACGGCGGGGGCTGTTTTCATATTCAGTGATGCTTCAAACATCAGGTTGCCTTAAAGTATAAACAAGTCCAATTTCAATTTCTGGGCAATATGCGATCTGTGATGCATTCTGACCCCAACAGGCTGTAAAGAGTTTAGATCCTGGGGAAAAGGTTTGTTTCTGTCAATAAAATGATTAATAATTTACATGAGAGGGGTCTTGATGCAGACCTGCACTCTTAGGACGCATCTTTGCAGACCTGCACAATGCGCTCTCCTGCACCTTCAGGACCGGTAGTTTATTCTGGATGTTTCAAGAGGAGCCTTCAAGAATGGCTCACATATGCCTCCAGATTTTATTTGAAGACATTTTTTTGCAAGGTGAGTTCACACTTAAATGTTCCTTTTCCCTAATTTTCCCAACTTATAGACCATGTTTCATCAAAAAAAAATTTTAAACGCAGCACATCATGTTGTGAAATCTGTTTCGACAATAAAAATACTTCCAAAAAAATTACATAAATTTGAGATTTTAAAGTTGTGTCTCCTGTCTACCGTTTTCTCTGGTGTCATGAGAAAAAAAACTGAAGTTATTGGCTATTTTGTTCATTTATCTAGGTATTCACGATTTCACTGTGAGAATGAAAAGCTAATTAAATAGAAATCACACAGCCTCCATTGGCAAATCTATGTGGTCCAACAGCAAAGGTAAGAACGGCACAAAGAATACTAAAAGAATAAAGAATATATAATGTAATACTTGCAAACACGTATAAGAGACGTCGTTATAGAACAACAACGTTAATGTTATTTTGAAATTATCCATACATATATCTCATTACACACATGAATAGACAAAAACATTTCAAATTTGAAAGACCAGGGAAATAAACACATAAATGTCAAATATGTCTGGTATACAAGCTTTTACGTTTACTTCACTTTTACTTTGAAAGGCTTTGAATAAACTTACAGATCTGACAACGTAGGAGACCTCACAGTGCAGGTCTGCAACTACAGGTCCCGACAGTGCAGGACGGCAGCTAGACTCATGATTTACATAGAGACACACAGATGTATCTGGGCCTGTTTGACCATTCAGATGCAATAGAACTGAAGTTTTAAACTTTTAAAACTTAGTTACAAATGGGCTCTTTTTTTAGTTTACACCATGAAAGTTGTAAGGAAGCAGCTGTTCCGACCGTTGCATTTCCGAATTCTTCCGAGAATAAAGTGAATGTGATTGGTTGCTTATCAAGGGGGCGGGATTGTTGTGGTGGAAGGTTCACAAGCAAGTTTGGTTGTGTCCGGTTTGTCGGAACCATCTTGCTAACCAGTTAGCAACTTAGTGCTAGTAGGTTGCCAATGGGAAATTACATTGGTACCAAATAGCACTAAATTGGTGACCTAGAAACGACACTGTCAAGGGACGCTATGGACAGCAGGAACATGCAAGAGAAGTAGAGTTTTGTGTCAGAGGTCGTTGATGAGTCTCCTCCGTCATACATTTTTTTATTTAGGGGAGGAAAGCGGGGACGAAGATGTTGTGGAAGAGGACGCCAGGGCGGCAGAAGCTTGGTTTGGTGTTGAAGGCTTCCAGCCGTACATGTTTGAGCCCTTGCCTCGCAACACTGCCAGTTCTGTTAGCTCTACGCCTGCTGAAGACACAGACGTCCATCCCACTGAACACTGGGATGGAACTCAATGGTAAAAGAAAGGATTCTTATTTCAACCTTTGCGTATATTAGCTGCGACATATAAATCAAGAGGCTATGTCCGAAAAAATTTGATTAACAGATGACCGATTGGCCGAATTTCAGTGTACAAGCTGACTTATAACAGACTGGCCTGCATAAAATACCGGAAAAAAAAAATACATATATGATTTTAAGATTTTTTTTTATAGAAATGTTCAAACTTTTTGGACAATATGATAAAGAGTACATTTATATACATGTTTAAACCAGTAAGGTTTGTTATTTAAATACGTCTTCCCTATGACTTTAAAAATGTACATGAACTGTGTTTGCTTGTTTATTTATTTTTATTTTTCAGGGCATAAAGTAGCTTTAAGTTATAAGGGAGTTTCTTCCTGTTAAAAGGGAGTTTTTCCTGTCTGCTGGCGCTACAAACATGCTTAGGGTGAGAGATTCCCTTTGAGTCGATGAGTCGATCCAATCAACTGGTTTTCCTTAGAAAACTGTAAAGTGCATTGAGAACTTGTTGTGAATTGGTGCGATATAAATTAAATGAATTGAATTAAATATCTGGTAGTTATGAAACAGCCCATTTTTATTTTATTTTCAACATTTTTTTTTTAACTGTACTAGCCTCTGTGTGACAAATATGACCTGATGATGGATATCATCTGTGGTTAGTTGTGCTCACAGTATGATAGTTGCAGGAGCTACTGTAAGGCATCAGATATGAGAAACAACCCGTCTGCAAAATTACAGGATGATGCAAGAGTGTTAAAATGGTTCAACAGACGGAGCAGAAGATTTGAA